ACAGGTCAGCTGAGTGGTGAGAAGTTAGATTATTTCGCTGGAACCATTTACACTCACAAATAGCTGTTGTTTCAGGCTCTGCTGTGTCACTGCTAGTTTGCCTTCTGATGTTGCAAACAGGAGCTCCATTTGTTCTAGCTGTTACAAGATGGGAGCCTGATATCACAAAAGAAAATAGGAAGAAATAGCTTGTTTTACACTGACCTGTGTCACTGGACAACGTTCGCTTATAACTGTGAGTATGATGACAACTGGCTTTGCACTGAGACTGAGCTCGCTGCACTGAGTCATGGCTCACATTACCGAAACATCAATTTAATGACCCTGCAGCTGTCAATAAAACCACTTAAGTAGGAGAAGGGATCTGTATCACTCATCGCTCACTCAATGTTAACATTTTGCCTGTTATTAATCACCTTTAATAAATGGTATTAGTTAACTATCAGTAATAACAGTACCAACAACACATTTCCACAGTGAGAGGTTCATACAACTACTGTGCCAAAATCCACTCTTCTATGGGTTGCTAAAATAAAAAAGAATTATTTTCCTCCTCTTTTATATAGACAAATACATGGACTGAGAAAAAAGAAGGAAAGCATACTCTGAAGACAGTGGAGTTTAATACAAATCCAGAGCCAAAATAACAGTGGAATCATGCTGTTAAGGAAAAGTTACTGTATGACAAAAAAAATTAGTGCAGGGTATCATAACGGCAAAGTTATTTGTTGCTGAGCAACAATTTAATCACTACCACCACAAGCTGAACAAATTACCGCATTCTTCTTACTGAATCGAGGATGTGTACAACTGTCCAGATTTCCACTCTATCCATAGATGTAAGTAAAACTAAACAGCAGCCATTTACATGTTTTCCCCACCATTGTGGCCCTAATGTTCAAGACCTCAAGATTGCTGCTGTATTTTCCACTCCTTCCAAGTAGCATCTCTATAAAAATTAGCTGAGACGAACAGTGTCACATAAGGGTAATTAGAAACACAGGTACCTTTCCATATAATGTGGCCAGATGCAGAACTGTAACATTTACCATGTGGTGGAACCAAGTAATTGTGTGAAACAGGATACAGGAACTCTGAAATCCAGCTTACAAGTCCGGATGCACAAAACACATACAAAATGTATGGTTAGTGGGACAGCATTGTTTGAAATTTCAGAGTGCAAGGAAAGAAAACATCTTCCAGCACTGGAAAAATCCAGTCTATCAGAGGAAGGAATGTTCCATCTAATGTAGAACAGGTGAAAATATGGAGACAGAAAGAACTCACTTTATGGCTCAAACTTCCTGCATAATTCATGCCACCCACAGAATTCATGCAGACTTGCTTTTATAATGAATGGTCAATTTTATCTGCCTCAGACACTGCAAAATATTTCAAGCTACCAGGACTTTTTGAAATTGCAGTGACAAAAATAGATCACCACAGTACCTGTAAGTTCTGTAGGCAGAGGCTCTGAGATGAGATGCTAGCATTTGGAGAAAGGTTTTTGTTTAATCCTAAGTATACCAATGTAGTTTGGTAACATCATGATTGTTGCTTAGAATACAGAGCGCTGGAGCACCTTATTACCGTGCTGAAATAATAACTAGGTTTTTGCAGATGACAGACTGTAGTTCATGCAAGGAGACTGACTTTCCCCATAGGTGCAAGTTCCCAAATACATTTTTCTGACCATTTCCCACAACAAATTTTTCTACATCCCATGTTATTTCCTTTATTCCAGCACCTCTTTCTGTCTGAGCCACACAAGGATGGCTAACACCACTAGTCTGAAGTAGGAATCCACCAGCTTCTTTCTGCCACAGGTTTGTGGGATTAAGACAGAAATGATGTACACTTTGGCTCTGTAACTGAGAATAACACAACTCTTCTACCTGTTCCCCAGAACAAGCTATGACTAACTTGATCTACATAAAACAGATGACAAGAAGTACAGAGTGGAAAGGATAAATCCTTCACATTTGTGTCAATTCAGTACGGTTATGACATTGAGGGCAAGTTAGGTACAATTTTCCTAAAACAAACAAACAAACAAACCAAAAACCAGCCACTGATGTTCAGTAATGTCCTCATTTCTACTTATATATAATATAGGTAGAAATATATAATATATATATATAATATATAATTCCATTATAGCTCAGACTGAAAAACTAGCGAACTATCTATTAATTATCAGCTTGCTAAAGTTGCAGCTATGGAGGCAGTCCTAACTGTCAAGGACCATTACTCCAAGCTTCAGAGACACCCACACCATTGAAGGGAACCAGGCAATAATGCTTGGAGGTCTGAGTGAATGAACAAGGATTTCTGGGCACAGTCAAATAAAAAAAATACAGGGCCGGAAGCACAGACACATAACCTTGGAGTTATATTGAAATACTTTATTTCTATCTCACAAAAAGCAATAGTGTTTGCAGTACACATGCCTTTCAAATCAGTGCTGGTAATACGCAAAAACATTTCTCTGAAATATGAAGAAAATCAGCTTTTTCTCCCTTTACAAATGAAACAGATGACTTTGCATATTTTATATATATCTATACGTACACACGCACACATACAGTATTTGAATCCCCATTTGAAGGCAGGTATTTTACAACCTGCAGTTTTACCACTCACAGTTCAGACACCTGTGAATTGACATTGTCTTGTATATTTCTACAGTGTTTAAAACACAAAGAGCAACCCTTTACAAGTACCTACACTACATAGCATTTCAAATGAACTCAGGATATTTTTCAGGGATACCTAACTTAACCTTGACTTAACAAAGACAGGACTCAGTTCTCATTGTAGAAAGTCGTTTTATGCCATATATTCAAAACTCTCCTAGTCTCCAAATCTTAGAACAGAAAATCTATGCTTCATTTTTAAGAAACCCATTCAAATTGGATTGTTTAAATCCATTCAAGCTAGTATGTTTTTTAACAGCTGTATCTTTAAGATTGTGTTATGATTTGTTTTTGTGCCACCATTACTAATTCAGAAGAGATACCTGTCTCCTGTTCTGGATCAAAGTTGAATTATCACATATAAAAATCAATATCTCTATTACAACAGCAGGTTGAAATAGCACAGCAAAATTAAAGATTTAAATTCTTCAGCAATATGACCTGAGTTTAATATGGTAAATATATTTTTTTTCTAGAAAACATGTGATTCCACGCCTTGAAAAGAGTAGCAAAAATTTTTGAACATTTAGTAGCGTCTTGATGAAAGCGATAAGCACAAATATTACTATTCAAAATCATTGTATGTACGCACTTTTCAGCGTGTGGCCGAGCATACTATGTGACTCAAGGGTCGGAGTTATGTGAGGAGCTAAAATGTACATGACTGAACCCAGCAAGTGCATTCAAGTGAGAATGGTCACTGAGGCAGCATTAATAGAATTTCAGAGTGCAAACAAAGACACCATCTTCCAGGAAAGCAAAGGAAGGATAGTACAGTCTGTGTCATAAAATGGAATGTTCTACCAAACGGAGAACAGGTGAAAAATAGACTCAAAATGTTTGCTTAAAAAGAATTCTAAAAGTTACACCTCCAATATCTGCTGGCCACCAAGATGAAGTAGTTAGTTGCACCATCTGTTTCCTCCAAGCTCACTCTTACAACACATGTACAATCACTTTCTAAAGCTTCAAGATCTAACATTTCTTCTCCCTGTGGTAGACAGTATCCTTCTACACCTTCTCAGTGCCAAGCCCAACAACTAATATAGATATAGAACAGCCCAAGCAAGCTGGCTCTCAATCAAGTAAGGGATTTCCATAGATGAGTGGATAAGAAGGAAGTTTAAGGATTAATCTTGACAGCAATGTAATAACTGGGAGTTGCTGTGACATTATTTTCAAAACATTTACGTACGTGGCAGTTCCATAATTGGAAAATCTGTACGCTGAAGAACAGTTTTTATCATACTTAAAGGACACAACAAACAGCCAACACTGCTCAGTTGTTCTCCCCCCACCATACCTCACCGACCCACAAAACGATCTGTATGACAAGGCAGCACCCTCAGAAATGGTATTCTGCTTCCCCATCAGCTCAGAGTTGAATTGTGCTCAGAGAATCGAGCCTCATCAGCCTCTAAGACCTCAGCTGGCTCCTAAAGGAGAACAGGGTGTTTACACTGTCTGGCATATTGCTTCAATTACAAGCTGTAAGGCACAACAATCATCTCTATGATCAATTACACAGAAAAAAAACTATGCCTATTCTAAACTTCTTCATTCCATATGTTACCATCTTCTCATACATTAGGAGTCTTATGATCTGTCCTACATTATTTTCACTTTTTCCATCTCTAAGTTAAAAAAAAAAAAAAGGGGGTGATCTGGCAGAGGGATCAAACCTTTCTCCAGGGCTCAAATGCTTGTTTGCACTTTTCCTGGTAGGCAATTTTTACATCAGAAAAATATTTTGTTTTACTTATAGAAGTAAAAAATATTTATACGCATATTTGATTTTCACCACAGTAAGTTCTTAAAAGTCCACTCTCCAGGAACTGAGGCTACTGGAAAGTAACAAAACAACCAGTGCATAATGGCTTTAAGGACAGTAGTTGATGCAGTCCAGCCAAATACAAACTGTGCAATCCCTATGTATTAAACACCATCATTTCACACTGCAGGAAATGATGCAGTGTCAGCACAGCTTTGCACGGTAAAGCTCTTCTACTGCAAAGTAAGAGTGTCCTAAGATGTACAGAAAACATCAGCTCTGCAATTTTAACTAGAAAATACTATGGAAATTAAGTAAAGTGTTGCTGCTGGCTACAATATGTTTTTCATTTGACTAGAAGCCAAAGAAAATTCAAAGAACTAGTAAGTTTTCATTCTCTGCAGCAAGGCTTGGCAGATGTGACTCTTAAAGGGCAATTCATTGCTCATGCCTTTGCCATTCTAACCCTCATCAGTTTTCAATAATCTCAAAAACAGTGGAGTGTATTTAAGAATTTCACTTGAAAGAAAGACTCCAGTACAACTTTTAATGAATTTATAGACTACATGACATAAAATGATATCAAATCCTATGAAACTGACATACTAAAAGTATTGTTTATTTTTCAAAAAAGAATAGTAAAATAAAAATTGAGAAATCCCTCCAAAATCTCTTTGATCTTCCACACTCTCTTGATACAGTTCACATTCAGCTGCATGCAATTTCCTTGCATAGAGCTAATTATCAGTACAGCATCTGAATAAAATGTAAAAAAAAATCCTACAGCAGAAATCAGGAAGAAGAGGGAATTCTCCTCCAGTTTCCATTTGAAATTTATATGCCTCAGTACCAATCAGAGCTGAAGAAAAAGAAGTTTGATAGGATAGAAAAGTGAAAGCATTTAACATTGAGAATGGTCTGCAAAACAAAACTAAGTACACACAAATATACAAATATGGAGATAATATTTATGCAGAAAGCACAGAGATTTAAAATAAATGAAGAAAACTACAAGACATGATAGCTGGCTAAAAAAAAAAAAAGAACATAATTAATTACAAATCTAATTGCATAACTTGTATGGAAGTAGAATGGTATGACCTACTTTCAGTGCTCAAACCACCAATTCCTTCTGAAGTACCTGTGAAAACTGTTCATTTCTGAGCCTTTTGGGCAAACATTCGTTTGTACACTTTCAAAGCTAACATTCTTTCTGATAACTTCAAGGTTAGAACTGCAAATGTTACTTTTAATGTGAGCTGATGAAAAAATGAGAGATTTCTTTTCTAGGAAAGAACTTCTCATTCTGAAAGGATGGGAAAAATACAGCATGGTTTAAGCAAGTCATAGCTTATTATTTCTGCTAATTAACTGTACAGCCAATGCTGCAATTTCAGAAATTAAAGCCTTCAGTTTGAGTTACCTGTGACAAATTCTCACTGTTATCTTCTTCAGAATTTACTGGTAATTAAATTTGTTTTGTTCGAATTCAATTTCTGTTAGCACTTTCACAGCAGTTTATAACTGATCATTTAATTGGCTTGTAATAAGACAACAGGTGAATCTGCTTGCAAGAATCCACAAAAGGTGCATCAATAGTGAAATGAACATTTGAAAACATCATCACATCTCCACATAAACAAGTATGCTTAATCTTCTATGTGTTGTATGTATATGTGACGCCTCAAAAATGGCCTTTTTCACTGCTTTTGAAAGACAGACAGAATGCACAAGTGGTATTCTGCCTTTCCAATGTGGTACATCTCTGCTTTTAGATCCCCTTCTTTTATAGAATTTGCAGATTTGTCTCACAAGGTTTTTCACAACAGTGTAAGAAGAAACCATTAAAATCTAAATGAGAAGATTTCTAGATGTTAAAACAAGAAACAGTGTACACAATTTGTCCTGCAATATAGGAGGTAACAAGCAAGGGAAAAAAAAGGTATAAACTTATCCAAATGAAGTGGCTGGCACATACTGACTAATTGCAGAACCTCTGAAACAAGTAATGAAATCAAACAGTCAAAGGTGGAGAAATCAGTAGTCACTTTAACAGATGAACTAGCCTGCAGCCACTTTCAATGGTAGTTTTGTGCAGTTGCTCACAGATAATACAGCAACATCAGTTATGGTTCAGTCCACTGATAGGTATCTTAAGTATGGTTCTGTTGCAAAACAGGTTCTTTAATTTCTGTGGAACTATCTGCATTTTTACATTTAAAAAAAATTATTAATTTCCACTGATGAGAAACTGGAACACGACTCCAAATTAAGGGTGTAAGTTTCAAATATAAAAATTATGTATCATCACTCATGGAAATGTTTGGTCTACAGATGAAAACAGTTTCAGAATAAATACTTAATCCTGCACATAAATGCTTTAAGGGAAATCAAATTTTATGTGAGACATGCCCTGAGCTTTCTAGACTCTCTAATAGTGCAAACAATGTTGCAGCGATGCCTGGTTTCATCCTGGCTTTTGCAAAAGAAACGGAGCAAATGTCCACAGATTTTTAATGGCTGGCACACTATAACATTATGTGTGCTACAGCCATTCCTGTAGCTTTGCTAAGTTCGTCTCCATCCACTGGATATTAAGCTGAATTGTGTCAATTGCCTCTTTTACACAACGCAGTTTAGAGCTCTCTTCTGATTTTGACTCAAAAAATGTTTTCACCTGCATAACAAGAGAAAAGAAAATCTTAATTAAAATCAATGCTGGCCAAACAAATAGGTTCAGAAGCAAAGGCTACATGCATGTGTCAGAATTTGTATCAAGCTAAATTCTCAGAGCTGGCTTCCCAAAATGTAAGACAAAAATATTTTACGGGAACTGCAGTAATCATAGAATGGATTGAGTTGGCAGGATCTTTAAAGACCGTCTAGATCCAACCACCTCCCATGGTAGGGCTGCTGTCTGGTTTCAGTAAATTAGTTTACCAATAAGCAGATATTCACTCATTACATTAAATACTGAGCCATCACAAAGCACTCAAAGTCCTAGAAAAATGTTTTGTTTTCTAAAAAATAACTATTTGTTTTGAGAGACTCACTTCAGTCCTCTGGAATGACCCCCCACCTCCATTCAATATTACACCTATCAATGGTTACACTTGAAATATGACAGGTCAAATCACAAGCAGCTATCTCTGTCCAATTTTCTGAACGAAAACATTAGCATAAACCTTAAACTACTTTTAACACATGAACTTTAGGACACTGTTAGGGAAGCCTGTCTTGGAGATTTCTAATGAACATTAACTGGATACTGAACATCCACAACAGCTCTTCGGGATTGCTGACAGTTAAAACAATGTAAAGCAATCCTTATGGCTCTGAACACATTCCACAGAAAAGAAAAGCATAGACTATTCACAAGGTCTAGACCAAAGCCACTCCTGTCAGGACAGTCTGAAAGAGCTAGGGTTGTTCAGTCTGGAGAAGAGAAGGCTGTGATCTGATAGCGGCCTTTCAGTGTCTAAAGGGAAGCTACAGGAAAGAAGGGGACTTGTTAGCAGGGTCTGTGGCAACAGAGCAAGGGCAAATGGCTTCAAACTCAGGGAGGGTAGATTTAATTTAGGATATAAGGAAAAAGCCTCTTACAGTGAAAGCGGTGAGACACTGGAACAGGCTGCCCAGTGTTGTGCTGGATGCCCAGTCCCAGGAGACTTTCAAGGGGAGGCTGGTTAAAGCCCTGGACAGCCTGATCCAGCTGTGGTGTCCCTGTTCATTGCAGGGGAGCTGAACTAGATGGCCCTCAAAGGTCCCTTCTAACCCAAATGATTCTATCATAAATTTTTTTATCACTATTTTGGGAGACAGAGCATTCAAACCAACAGGAAACCAAAGCAATATAAACACATAGCTGTACTTGACTGTATGCCAACTCTGCCAAAATTCAAAATGTTCAGCATGTTTCTGTATACATTTCTTATGTATGACATGGGGATAGAAATAGCTGTATATCCTTGTAAAGGGACTTCATCACAGTAAATAACACATGCTTTCCCAATCCTCCAAATAACCAAAGACAGCACTGGCACTAAAAAATATTATTTTCTGTTTAATTAAATCACCAACCTCAAGTAGATGCACCTTTGTTGCAAACTGGGAAGTTGATGAGCTAATGATATTCTGCATAGTGTATGAGCCTAGATGAAACCTGAAATACAAAGAAGAAAAAAAATGAGAAGCCACTTTATCACACAGTTTGTGTATGCACACGAACTTCTTATTCTTTTTAGTTTGTTTCACTAGAAATCACTAGAGAGAATTAAATTCAAGTTTACATACCTACTTTTTTTAAAAACAGATACAGGGTCTTACAAATCTAATCCTCAGAACATTTAAAGTCTCTAAAAATTGAAACTTCGAAGCCATGGAAATTTTTCAAGCTTCTATGAACAGTAAAAGCTGAAGACATTGAACAGCAACATCAGTATTTGTGGTACGCATTCAAAAACAATTAAGTTCACCTCCAGAACTAATTTTGAATCAAGTAGTTTTGTAATACTGATTATTAATTAATCCTGCTTGCTAAAGCATGAATTTTCATCTGGAATGAGCCTTTTTAGCAATACAAAAACGTTACAGATCACAGCTAGAACACAGAAATACAATTTTCCATGTAACTGTCAGCTTATGGAAGATTTGCAGACCAGCTCTCCAGCTGGGTATCCCTTAAGGTCAGTTATGGAGAACATACATTTCTAAAACAAGTGGTGTTTTTTGGTTTTGAGATTACCGTAGCAAGATGGAATAAATAAAAGATGAATTAATTCCCTGGATCTACTTCTGAATGTCTTTCACCACATAGGTATCCTACATAACCATCACAGAAGGTATGCTTTTAACAGAAATTCAAATCAAGACTGTCTAGAATAACTAACAGGTTCTAGGTGTCTCCAAAGTCCCATCAACTACTAGTGAGATAAAAAGATACATTTTCCAAGTATTTTTGTAAAATCAGATTTTAAAGCAGGCATTAAAATTTCAATATAGATATTCTTATATGAAGCAAACTACTTATTCACTGGGACATAATAAGAGCCATCCTCTTGCCAATGGGACTGTGCATTTCAGCTACATCAAAAGCCTTACTTCCGTGTAAGTTTTTCCCAGTTCTCTTTGACAAAGTCCCAGGCCAGCAAGTGTCCAGGCAAACTGTGGCTAATAGTTGTTATGATATGTGAAAGCTCCTGTGTCCTGACGACTTCTCCTTCAAGGCTGTTCTGCATTAACCTAAAATACAAAGTATATGAAAAGGGGCAGGAAAAGAAATCTTGTATTTTCACATGGTTCTCCAGATACTTGTGAATTAGAAGGACAAGATCATGTAACCGAAAAAATAACAAGCAATTTCCAGCATCTGGAGCATAGTGACGCTACATTCTATATGCACCATATTCATTTCACTTGAGTTCTCATGAACTGAAGGACCTCCGCTCTAATCCAAGCACCTGAGTTTTCACTGGTGTTGAGGTGAAGTAAATTTTCACAACTCGTAAAATAGAAGATAATTCACTGGTAAGTTAAAAGAGAAAAGTTGTAACTGGAGTCACCTACCAGGACATGTTTAGTGTGTCCCTCACATAATAATGAGATTTAAACTTTGAAGAGGTATGGGAGCATGGTGTAAGGCCAGAGAAAGAACAAAAAGACCCAAAAAGTTATTGCCTTGGTTAATAAGATGTAAACAGAATAATCTGCCATTTGTGTTACCATTACCACAAAAACCTGAAGTTCCTTTACTACTGCTACAAAACTTTTGAGTTCAGTTGTTTCCTTTGTACGTATTTCACCTCGACCTACTCCATCATATAAATTATTTTGAAGTGAATAATAGTATTCTTCTTTTTACGGAATCCTGTAGAAAACATCTAGCTAGATTTTATTTAATACGTACAATTTTTTTTAATGAAAAAAAAGAAAAGATTCTATCACTTAATTTACACAACACAGAACTTATTGTCTATTTCATACCACATCATCTTTCTGACATCTTCTGTGTTGGCCAAAGCTTCAATCATTTTGCTTTTCTCTGCTTCAGGAACTGAAGAGGAGTACATCTTTAGGAGGAATTCCCAGCCATCATTAGTTTTGGCTCCAGTTATAAATATGGTTTTCATAAGGTCACTAGGAAGACTACAGGGAAAAAACAAAACAAAACAAGCAAACCAAAAAAAAAAAAAAAAAAGAGGGAGGACAAAAATGCTCATCTGAGAAAAGAAGGAAGAAAAGTTACAAAATGAAAAGATTAGCTTGAAAGAGATCCCTCTCATTTCTGCAGTTTATTTCCATAGCACTTGTATGCTTGCTGGACACAAGAATTCATGCCATTCTACTTCTTTAACTCACTTGGAATAAGCCATATGATAACACAGCAAATGGCACAAAAATCAGAATCATTTTCTATGGCACAAAATGCACAAAAACCCAGAGTAGAATGAGTTCTGCAAGACAAAAAGGTACACTTCACACTGCTAGTGAAGTATGAGTATGCAGCTTAAGAAACACATGGATGCAATCTGTGTATGGTTTTGCAGTTATCCTCAGTAAGACTTCAGACAAAATTTTGAAATTTAGCACAGTTTGCCCCCTCATGTTAAAAGCACAACTAATTTTGGACAAGCAACAGTGAATGACAGAATGAAGTGCCCTCAAATGGCAGGGTAACAAGAAGAGGTAGATAAAGCAGTGAAAGTCGAATGGCTTTAGTACCTCATTGTTCCATTTGATTTCATCCACCTATCAAAGATCTCAGATGCATTTTTTCTACAGTTTCTTATATCATGGGTGCACGCAAAAGTTAGCAGCATTGACCGGAGTTCTCGTTCAGATAATGTCCCATCATCTGTCCAGCGCTGCTGATCAATTTTATTGCCAAGCAGGCGTTCTATTCTGTTCTAAAGGAGGAAAAATCATTAGCAACAGCTAATTCTTACCAAAGGATTTTCCACAAACCAAATCAGTTAAAAAAAAAGAAAAAACAGTTTTACAACTGTGGAGGTTAAGCATAGTGGTTTTTCTCAAATACTTTAGATATGACATAGATCTCATACACAGTCCAGTCTACATCTAATGTTAAATATGCAAATTGAACTCTATTCCTCAAGCTACTACAGTTCAAACTCATAGCCACATTGTGATCTCAACTAATTCCAGCTTCTGTATGTTTAACTGCTTTTAACTCCATCAAGTGACAGAAGAGCTCCTTAGTTTAGCACAAACAACAAAGCTTTATCTACAGCATGAACCTCTTCTGTTCCTAGTTTTGTACTGTTAGCTAGGTGCTCCACCACATGCCTCATCAGCTGAGATATCCAAATGTAAATTATTATCATCTAATAGACACCATGGGTTGTTTTTCAGAGCAGATAACGAGATAACAAGAACTGAACCTACCATCTTCATTTTACTGCTATGTCTGTAGCACTGCATTATGCTAACCTATCTCTTGGCTGGAATGAGAGAATGATGACCATTTGCTCATTTGTATTTTTTCAGAAAATAGTATTACCTTTTTCCCCACTGAAGCTTCTAGATCAATTTGATCTGTGATGTCCAGATACAACAATTGTGGAAATAGCCTTTCTGTACTAGAAATTGTCACAGGTTCTGCACTGTCTTAACCTTCATAGACCCTGTTATAATTTCCCAGATTCCACTACCTTACCAGACCTACAAAAAACTGGAGGAGGGAAAAGTCACAACAGAAAATTTAGCATTGCAGTAGATCACTGCTACCTCACAGAGGTTGCTAAGACCGAGAACAAATCCCAGTTTAGCTTGATGAGGCTAGTGAATTCAACAGTCAACACTAATTTAACTATAAACATTACAAAAAATTATTATTTCAAACTACAATTAGCAGAAAACTAGGACATACCATGACACGTGCTGCCAATTGTTGTTCTCCCCTTTTCTCTAGAAGGCTGAAAATAAGACCCAGCTGAAACAAAGCTTGAGTGAGAGGTGCAGAGCTGCTCTCCTCCTCAAGGTAATCGATCAGCTCAAAGGCCTTTTTCAGAGACTCTCTTCCTAGACTGCCGGTCAATGAACAGAACATTGAAGTGGTTTAAGTGATAACATCTGTACTGGCCAAGTTACAATAACCTGCATTGCACTAACACAGTAACAGGTAAGTAGAAAGAGTAATGCTTTAGATGTAAACATTTTTGTATTACAACATCAGCAAGAAGATAGTGACACTAACTTTACATTAATGTCTTCAATTAACATAAACTGAAATAGGTAGAAAGGTATAAAAATGACATCCAAAAATATTTATCATAAATGAGGGTACTCAACTAAAGGAAAGTGTTATCCAAGAGATCTTCTAGATCATTCAGCCTCACTACAAGTAGTGCCAGCAGTGAAAGAGCAGGGGATCAGTTTTCAAATAAAAACTTGAAAGGCAAACCCTTGCTTGTCTATGGAGAAGTATTTATTGACAGAATACAGAAAAAAAAACCCAGCAGACTAGCAGACAATTAAAGAAAATAATGTCTTCCAGTAATGGAAGTAATCATGTGCCTCTGGGATGCAAATAAATGGATACTGCTCTAAGAAAGAAAGAAACAATGAAAAACAGAGAGATGACATCTCAAACCAATATGGAAGAATCAGTGAAAAAATAATTAAAAAAAAAATAGTGAACAGTATACAGTTTTAAGAAGCTAATGGAGACTGAATAAAAACTTCTTTAAAGCAGCCATCACCACAACCCAGATCTGATTCGACTTGGAAAAACCTAAAATTCATATTAATTATGTTTTCCAATATGAAAGTCTTACCTTGCAAGGGTGAAAATATTGTTGATCAAATTGGCTCTGTCTTTAGCGCTTAAAGAAGTGTGGTTTTTTTTCAACAGATCAGTCAGTGTTTCCCAGTCTTCATCATAATTTACTATGTAATAACCATTCATGTCTACATTGAATTTTATCCATTCCACCTCTTCTGGAAGTTCAATGGTAGCTAATGGACAGACAACCAGTTAGCAGCAGACACTAAGACATAGCATTTGTTCTTTCAAATTCAAATGTTAAAAAAAAAAACAGTTAAGTCTCCATTGGCATCTGCAGCCCTTACTAGTTAAGAGAGATTTGCTGCCAGCACTCCTTTCTAATAACCCAGTCCCAATCTCTCATACATAATTACCAGTGACACATTACACAAAAACACTGACAATTAGGGATGACATTAATGTGGATGAAGGACACAATCTAGTTTCAAAGTCAACTAGACACAAAAAAGGAAAACTTAGGGGAAATGGGAAAAAAAGTTCTGTAATTCAATTAATTCTGTAATTATTGTCCAAGTTCACTCTGCAGAGCAAATGCAATGTCCTTCAAGCTTAGTAAACATTCTACTCCAAACTCTTTTATATGCCTCTCCTTCTCTTATATCCTACACATCCAAATTTCTACAGTATGATGAAGATGAGATCACCAACAGGGACATTTGAAATCAGGCTACTTATGTTATTAATTATAGTAAGATTCACATTCAATTGAACAACTTTGTTTTTCCATTCTGATAGTTCACAAGGACTCTTTCTAAACATCCAGGTCAAATTAAAAAGTTTAGGAATAATTGAGGGCTTTGTAAAGGCAACATCAGAATGACACTAACAACATACTTATTTCCAGTTTTTATAACATTTCTGAAGTCACCTCTGAGGGCTGGAAATTTGTAAAATACAGTAAACAGCAAACATCAAAGATCAGCTCTACAAATCTGATTTTTATTTTCTACATTTTTATTTTAAATAGTAGAGGCAGGAGATAGATTTATGAATTAAATGTAATTGCAAGGTAAATACAATGCATGAAAAATTTAATCAAGAAAAAACGTTTCTTCACTGAGATGATGTAAAACAGTGAGGAAGAGTCACTTAAAATGCAAAAAATTATTGATGTCAGTGGAACATAGAGGGAGATATATGAAGTGATTTTAGCAAAATACTACGTGATACTGTAAGCAAATATTCACGTGGTATGAAGAAAAGCAGGACTGAATTAAAACAACAACACAATGACATGAAATTTAAGGTTCAAAGTATCTACTACAGCAAAAGCAGAGTACTTATCTGAAAAGATCATAGTTTCAAGTTTTACAAAAGCTTTCTCAAAAACTTAATCTGTTCCAGATGGAATATATTCTTGTAACAAGAAACAAAGTAAATAATATCTGAGCTGAAAGTAACTCCTTCAGATTTCAGTACACTGGCAGAGCAACTCTAATTGTGTTCATTCCCTCAAGGATAAGTAGCTCAAGACAGTTTGGGCATGCATTAGGATAAGAAGAGAACAAGATTCAACAAATTCCAGACCTGTGTTTCTGTCCATGTTGTTTTCAGTTCTTTAACAACATGCTTTGATGACAGAACTCACTGTACTTTAATCTGGGTCTCTGCAATTATTTTGTACTCTATGGGTCTTCATCTTTGCATCCTATGCTCAGAAAGGTCAGTAATCTGTAATACTTAAATTAAAATAGCTTCCAAAGTTTTGGGTCATACCTGATTTCTGGTCCAGTAAATATGCATTAATGCAATGGGTAAAGTTACACCTGTTAGTCGTGTAGGTGAGAGGAATATCCCAGAGATAACTACAAAGAGAAGCATATGTTGCGTACAATTTATTATTTGTCTTGAAGGTTACTGTGTTTTGGTTTTTTAATTTAAGCATTTAATACATTAAAATTACACTGCATGTTGCATAAAGTATAAATAACACTCATATAATCTGAATATGATAGAAAAAAATACATACAGCTTTTAAAAAAAATTATTATTCCTATCATGTTGAGATTTTCTACTACTTAATTCCAGCATTGGAAAAGTAATGTGGACAGAAAATCTTCAGCTGTATCAGAAATTCAACTAGTACTATTTTCAATTCAGTCTAGTGTTTTCCTGTTTCATTAAAAACAAACAAACAACAAAAAACCCAACAAAATAATTCAAATGCAAGACTCAGGTTTCAAACCATGGTAATAGAAACCATAACTGACTGCACATCACCAGTACTGACCCAAGTGAACTGCAACCTGGACAAATAAATGCTAACTTGCTTCATAAAGATGACTGGGACTTGTTTATTTAGAGAAAATGTAACTTTAAGTGAGGCAAAACAAATTGTAGATACACATTTGATGGGGGCCCTTCTGTGAATGACTCGCATGGAGCACTCATCAAAAACCTTCCATGCACTTCACAAACTGATATCTGCCAGACGCAGAATGACAATTAAGCCTAACAATCCTTCCCTTCCAACCATAAACTGTTTTCCTTCTTCCTCTCCAAAAAAACAAAACACAGCCCTGTAACTTTCAGCATCTGAAGAGACAAATTCCTTCCATGGGTTTGACTGTGGAAGAAGATGCAAAGGATTCAGTTCTTTTAAGACTTCACATAACTGCATAAAATCACCAAAATCTCTAGAAGGATTCTAGCTTATGATATTATATTTTGTTACAAAATACAGGTAAGTTTCACAATGTAAGACATTTTTGCAAAGGAAGCCCACAGAATATTAACAGTTGCTTAGGTAGAAATAGGCATAGATCATCAATTATTTTTCCAGTTAAGATATTAGATGTACATGCCGTGCTAAATTATCTTATTATCTCATTAATAATCGTATTATTGTTATTATTATGTTATTATTATTGTAAGAATGCCAGAAGGCCTCCTTGGATCAACAAGGAGCTCCTGGACTTTGGCACAAAAAGAAATATAGGGAGTGGAAGCAGAAATGGGTTACCGTTATCGGTATTCCACATCACAACATCATGTAGTGCACAGAGTTAAAAGAGTCAATGCTGCAGTTCTGGGCATCTGTCCCAGAAGAGAAGAACTACATACCCCAGAGGACTTTGTGTTCAGAGAGGAGATATAACCCCTGGCAAGATCACCTGATGACCACTTTTCCCTTTTCAATTGTCAGGCTCTCCTCTCTGCTGCTCGTCCCAGCTGCATGCCCTGTCTCCGCATTAGTATAAGGCTTTTCAGTTGTTTTTTTTAAACACACTTTCTCTCATTTAATTTTATTTATTAGCTCCAATTTTAATTATATAGTATTATATTGTATTATAGTGAGTTATCTTGCATTTTGGTATCTTGTTTAGTAAATTAGTTTGTTTTTCCTCAGATTGCTGCTGCTGTTTTGTTTTGGGGCCCACCTCTCTACCCTTTTTCCCTCACCCCTCCACCCTGTCACAGAACAGGGCCAAATCAGCCCATAAACAATTGACAGATCCTCAACACAAGGACTCAAGCTGTTGGAAAAAGTCCAGAGGAGTGCCTCAAAGATGATCACAGGACTATGAAGACAAGCTGAGAGAGTTGGAGCTCTTCAGCCTGGAGAAGAGAAGGCTTAAGGGCAACCTTAGAATGGCCCCTCCAACACCTGAAGGAGGCCTACAGGAAAGCTGAGCATGGACTTTTTATAAGAGTATACAGTGACAGGACAAGGGGAAATGGCTTTATCTAGAAGAGGGCAGATTTAGACTAGATATTAGGAAACTATTCTTTACTATGAGGGTACTACGACACTGGAAGAGGTTGCCCAGGGAGGTCGTGGATGTCCCCTCCAAGGAGGAGCCCAAAGCCAGGCTGGATGGGGGCTATGAGCAGGGAAATGTCCCTGCCTATAGCAGGGGGTTGGAACTAGGTGTTCGAAAGGTCCCTTCCAACCCAAACCATTCTGTGATTCTATTTTCTCGAGTAGTAAAAACATAGAGCCCAAAAACACAAATAAGAAAGGTACAAGACGAAAGATATCTGCAAATAGATTTTAATGGATGGAAAGTAGTAAGAAGGTAATTACCTCGTGTCTGATGTCCAATTATCTGGTTCTACACGATACGAAAATTTTTCCTGATGCAATGAGATGACCTTTCCTTTTCGGTTAACAGTCACTAAAGGAAATCCTTTATGCAGAATCCAACTTTTCATTAACTTTTTTACATCTAGTGTTCCATTGGTGATCTGAAAAAAAAAACAAAAAAACAAAAAAACGTAACAAAAACATGGCAAAACAGGAATACAAGTTTCCAAACCTCTCTGTTTAACTTGCCAAGATGCACTACTCTACAGTGCTTTGACACTGAGTGTGTATATTTCACAAGCAACGATCTAGAGGAAAAGATCATTTTATTTTCTGAAGTAGAATAAATCCTAAACAGTAATGAAAAGAGAAATTGGAATCTTCAGATAGAAAAACTGGTATGCTGAGAAAATAGGGACAAGAACATTACAGAAAAGAAAGTTATGGAAGACCCCTAGACCTTAGTTGCTGCTCCCACTTGCCCTGACACTGTAATTGATATTAGCAAAGATGATCGTCCAACCCAAAAAAGACAATACGACCTCTAACTCACAACAGTACATTTTAAATGGAGCTAATAGGAAGAAAATTAATGTGTCATTGTGGAAGCATCACACACCTTCCACCAATTCTTGTTGTCTCTTTGTCTGGGTACCCTCATCAGTATCTTACTGCTCACCTTATGAATGTCTATTCACACCAACATTCAGCATTTTCTTGTTATAAGCCAGAAAAGAGGAGGCTGAGAAGGAGCCTCGATGACAACAAATACTTGAAGGTAGAGTGTGAAGAGGACACAGCCAGGCTCTTTTGCGTGGGGCGCAGAGTAAGGACAGAAGGCAGTGGGTATAAACTGGCACACAGGAGCTTTCTTTCCTCTGAACACCAAGCAGCACTTCTGCACTATGTAGGTGGCATAGCACTGGCAGAGGTTGCCCAGAGAGGCAGTTGAGTCTTCTCCTTGGAGATCTCCAAAAGCCACCTAGACATGGTCCTGGGCAACCTGCTCTAGGTGCCCCTGCTAGAGCAGGGGGAGGAGCAGTGGACCCAGAACTCCCTTTCAACCTCAGCCCATCTGTGAAAGCAATGTGAGGTCTAGAATGTCTAGATCTTACTGTTATCCAACTGTCTGAGTACAAGTAGGAGAGAATCTGAAAGACTATTTAAAAAAGGAAGAGAAAATCACAATTCAAGGTGCAAAAAGAAAAATATGCAGAGAAACAGAACACCATAACAATGGAAATGAATACAGAGATAGTACATTTCAGTAAATTCAAAGATGGTACTTGTCAGGGAAGCAACACATAAAAGGCCCAGCTGTAAACAAACTCACTGCAATACTGGACTAGTCAAGCTAAACACTGAGCCTTCCAAAAAGAGACACATAAGTGAGTGTACATGATATGCAGGCTAAGTCAAAACACAAAATTAACAGTATTAACACATACTTACAGAAAAAAAAAATTGTAAAAAAAACCCCACATCACAGGAAGGCACCTTCTGGCAGATCAAGCTAGCAGTATGAACTTGGTAACTATTAAATAAGCCCCAGATACGAAGGTTTGTTTGTCATTTAAGTAAGGAATACACACTCCAGATCTAAGGTGAGATGTAACTAAGCTGGTTGGAGGCAATTTACTTAACAATGTTAATAGAGGCAGATAAAGCAATCCCAGCATGTTAATAATTAGTTTTGACTCTTAAAGATGATGACTGAGTTTCAACAGGCTGAAGAGTGAGGCCTGCTGAGTTCACAGAAAAGCTAAAGTTGCCCCAAAGACAAACAGCAGGCTTTAACAAAACAAAGACTAAAACTGAGTTATTGTTGGAGGCACAGATACAGACTAAGAGAGAAATCTAAATCTTGAGAATGGCCCCTCTTCCGTGCTGGAAAAGCAGTGAAGCTCTGCCTCACGCAGATCAGATGCAAAGCATCTGTTGGAGTCACTCCATGCGCTATTGTCCACCTCACAGAGTACTCTCTACGTTTTCCACCATGTGTAACAAGGAGCTCTGTTCTCTTCCTGTAACTGAGCATCTTGAAGCCAAGATATCCAGCAACTTGCTCCTGCTAGGATCCCTTCTTTTGCTGCTGTGAATCAGCATTTTCTCTCCTTTGTCAGGCCCTCTTTCCCTTGCCAGGCATAGCCACCTTCCTGCCCTCCAGTTCCAGAGTGGCAGAACTTGGCTACCCAACAATCCTGCTTTCCTACAGCCCCAGCTCTGCTTGCAGAAACAGACATTGCCATCGACACAAAGTTACACAAGGACAGAGCACTTCAAGAAGCAAATATTTACAGACAGACTTAGGATTCAGATCCTTCATGAAAGAAAAGTTTTGTCCTACATTTAAGATGACTAATTTTAGTCTGGCTATAATACACTAATAGTGTATCTCTAGAGAGAGTGTGTATATATATATATATATACACACATATATATACACACAATGCTGAGTTTTCTGTAGGGTGGATATGGCAGTGCATACCCATTTACAGAACCCCTTTGGGATACTGGTAAATGGAGTCCTAAAAGATACAGCACTTTCTGTATTTATACGACCGGAGTGTGCTGCATCTCTTGATCTGGTTTTAGATTGTGTGTGAGCACAATCTCTGTGCTTCTGGGAAGTGAACAAGGAAGGTCTCTGCAGACAGCGGCTCTAATCCACAACGTGCTGTGAGGCAAGAAGGAGCTGAACTGTGTAAGCACAAGCAAAACTTGCAGTGGGAATTCCTCATGTGTCACTCATAGCTCATTGCTGGGCCCAGCATCCCAGCCCAGCAGTGAGCAGGGGAGTGCCTTTGGACAAAGCCTCAACCAGAAGCACCATCAGACAGGACTATGATAAGCAAGAGTATTTATTTGCAGCACATTGTCTTATCTCTTTCATAAACAAGTATATAACCCAAAATGCACAGCGCAATCTGAGAAGTGAAAAACAAAATACAAAAGCATAGTAATAAAGATGAGTACCTCATTCATGCTGTCCCACAAATCATCATTCTGGGCAGATCCATACTTGTGATTATGCAAATATATCTCAACGCCAGCTTGAAAAACATCTTTAGTGAGATAATGCTTCAGCATCATCAGAAGTGAAGCTCCCTTTGGAGAGGAAAAAAAAAAAAAAAAGGTAAATTACAGTTACAGAACTCACTGAAGAATAGGCACACAATAGCTCATCCATAGCACACACACACAAAAAATCATAAAATGGCATGTTTTATCCCAAATTTTATTTTTCATTTAATCCCAAAATTTATTTTATCATCAGAATAATTATCTTAGCACACAGCTACTTTGGAATAATATTTTTGAATACTTCATAAACTTCAAATACAGTCACAAATATGTCTAATATCATTTGAATTTTTTCCCAGTTACTTTGGAAAAATAAGTATTTTTGTGTATCTCAAAGGCTCCACATACAGTTACAAAGCAGGACAGTAATACTACTTTTTCCCTCCAATTTATTCCATCTACAAAATATCATTTTCTAATTGACAAGTCTCTGCAGGCTGACATACTTCATTATCAATGCATGGTAGTGCATGTACTTCTGCATGGTAGTGAAATGTACTTGTAAGACAGTGTTTGACATTTGTATGATTTTCATCTGTATCAAAAGCTCCCTGACAGCTGAGCAGTTCCAGTTTCCGAGTAGACAGGAATGTTAGATGTAAAGTTGTTTTTGTTATTTTAGACACATCACAACCATTAATAATAATAATTATCAGAGGACTTGCACACTGGACTGCTAAATGTAAATTAGCAGCCATACATCATGAAAAGGTAACGGTGCACTAATGGTACATTTTAGAGTAAGGATCAACAAACATTAAAAGGCAGATTTTCTTGAGAATGTGTATAGTTTTGTCACACTCTAAATTCTAGTCTGGGAATTCAAGTAACATCTTGCCTGAATGTGAAGGTTGTCTGAACTCTGTTGATCTAATTATTCACTGAACTGTAGGAATAACCCTCACTACCAGTTTTAAAACACAGTCATTATTTTGTCTCTAGCAAAAGTCCATACTTAAGTTCTACTTCTTTGTATTGCTGTCAAACAGTTCCAAGACTGCTGCTGTAGTAGGTGGACTCTTGTCCCACTGACACATTATTGATAATCTCTAAAACAACCAGGCTGTAATAATTTTGCACATCAATTTCTACTTCAAACAATAAAATACATCTGTGTCAGACTGTAGGACAGCAATACAGTAGAACAAAGCATCTTGTGTAACACAGTAACAGCCACACCCATAAGGCTGCAAACGATAACACTACAAATGTCTTCCAATTCCAAGTACCAAGAGCATTAGCAAAGTAAGGCACAAGGCCAAGAACACTGGAATACAAAGACTATCTTACAGTAAGCAGCAGCGTTCCCTGGTTTCTCACTAGACAAAAAAGTACAAGCACGTACAGATACATGGTGCTGAAAAAATAACAGCTAATCCAAAAGAGACATTAAGCTTTCCACCTGAAATACTAGTATAATGGACACAATACATAGGACCTAAGATATCTAAGACACAGTAAGCAAAAAATTCAACGAAGAACGGTATTTGCTCTCTCCAAGTAAGGCTTTTAAAAAGGAAAAGGAAAGGGAGAAGGGAGAAAGGGCAAAGGGAAAAAGAAGAAACTTCTCACATATTTCTCACTACAAATTAGAAATGGATATAATCTAGTTGAAGAAAAACAGCGTACGACAAATTCAAGTCTCCAGTTCTGCATGTCCCTAAAATGCTGATTTAAAAAAGCAAGTTGTATAAGAAAGAAAACATAGTGCCTTTTTCTCACGCTTTCCTATAAAGCCTGCTATCAGAAACAGGATATATGTGCAGCTGGTCATTTGTCTCACCCACTAGGTCCCTTCTCACACCTTCATAACTTAACTCTGTACTGAAACAAGCACCACACAGAAGCGTGTTGAGTAAGCACAAACCATTTTTTTTCTTCCCCTCATTAAAAGCTGGTTGCTCATAAACAGCACTGAAAGGTACCAGAGATAGCCCCAAATGACTGCCTGTACCGTACTTGTCTACTTATACACATAATCCTACATTCATGCTTACAATAGCTAATACATCACTTTCTAATTATTTCTACATATGTTTTATGTTACCTTGATGTAAGAGAGTGCATCAAACATTTCTTCAATTTGCTCTGATGACTGGACAGCAGAAGAGACCGGATGTGAAGAATTTAAGGAATCCTTCATCATAGCCTTGAATATTAGATTCAGGAAATCTTCATCCTAGAAGATGAACTTTTTTTTAGTGTCTGAGAAGCTGGAACATACACAAGTACAATAGTAAAACTCATCTTTGCCTCAGTCTTCCCATAGTCTGATATAGCACTGCTCGCCTTTCAGTGGAGGCAATAATAGATGTGTCAGAATCTGCATTCATGAAATCTGCTCTTCTCCTCACATATTTCAGCAGCAGAATCTACCTCCACCATTTAATCATCATCCAGACCCTTAAGCGCTCATCTCAGTAATGTATATACAGCACTACTGAAAACAAATGTACCTAATAAACAAGTAATTATGTGCTCTATTTCAGATTTTGCTTAACAACGTTTTCAGTTCATTTACAGGAAAGAAAATAGAAAAACATGATTTCTGTAGAATATTTTAATGTTTAAAAGTCTAAAGTCTAACAAAATTACAAATAACAATGATGCTGTAACGTAAACATCATACCACGGGATCCTAGTACCAAAGTCTTCCTTCCTTCCTTCTAGATGAAGGATATTTGAATTTAATACACTGTTAGCATAATGGAACAACCCCAAAAGCTAACTTTTAAACTACTTCTAAATAAGCTGACTGCATTAATATTTATCCATTTCATTTCTTTGTGACTTCACCAAACAATTATCTGTACAGTTTCTGTACAGAAGGAGTGGATCTTAACGACTTTCTGGAAAAATAGAAAAGACTTGTATAATGAGATAACCAAGATATCCTTTATGGTTGAACACTTAAAGCTATTCTCTTTGAGTGGAGAATTTGGAGCGAATTTTGTGTTCAACAAAACACTTTTTTGGCACCACCAAGTGGTGGAACAACATGGGCAAAGGCACCCTGTCAGACACCTCTCAGAAAAAACTACTCCAACAGTAAATGGGATCTTCTTAAAACAGTAGCCTAGGCTTTTTTGGCCCTCCTTTCAACACCTGCGTGCCCTAAAAGCAGAACAGCTTTGGAAACATACTTCTGGTGGTCATCAAACACAACAACCAAGCTAGGTCAAATAAAAAAAAAAATTAAACACTGAGTTCCAAAACATAAATCTACTGAACCAAGTTAGGAACCCAAGCTTCTTAATGCACTAACAATGGTGAATTAAGTACACAGAACTCACACCTAGTTACAGGATACTGACAAGGACACAACCCTGCAAGCAGAAAACAATCTGTACCAGTCAGGTTTTTAATCCTGTGACTAATGCAAATTACAAAAGTGCTCCTGGAAGTGAAATCTGGAGCCCTAATATCTTCTCTCCTCTGAAATACCCTTGCCCAGGATGAAGAGTTTCTCCACTGGCCCCTCGATGTAGTTCCATCAGTCTTCATTTCTCTGCCTGCATTCAGTGACAGGAATGCTCTAGTGATGTAGCTTCTATCATCTCCTCGGTGAGGAAATAATAAATCCCTCATGCTTTCCAGAGCCTCAGAAATTATGTCACTCAGTTCCTGAGCAAGTTGCTAAATCATCATCAGGTTATTACACCAAAAAGATTCCTCCTCCTTTGGCCATGCGCGTGAAGAGAAACGCCTTTGGGAGCAGTGCTCTGTACTATTGGTGTAATGCAATGATATCTGAATCCACTGGGTGGGGCCACAATATATTTTTAAACCAGATCCTCTGATTTGTGAATCCCAAACTAATTCAGACATAAGCAGTTACCATAATGATAGAAAGACAGGACTGATGCTGAGTATACTTAGTAACCACAAGCTCCAGAGCTGCCAAGGCCCATGGAGAATGACAATACCAGCCAACAATGTACCTTCAGAATAAAGACTGTAAATTAGTATTTGATACATGTATACATCTACTGCCTTTGACAGCTGACATTTTGCAGAACATTTTTAACCTACATATAACACAGGCACGCTAATACCAAAATAAAAAAGGGCCACATAATAAAAAGAAAGACAAAAAAAAAACCACAATTCTAATATAATGAAATATAGTGTGAAACTGGAGATACAAGTGGTACTCAAAGTGAACTTCAAATTATCAGACCTTTATAGTCAGCACGAAAAAAATACATCTTACTAACGGTGTAGTAAGTGTAGTTACAGAAAGTACTTACTGAATGTAATTCTGGAAAAACCTCCTCCATCGCGAAGTACTCCATGAAAGTGGCAAATCCTTCATTCAGCCAGAGATCATTCCACCACTCCATAGTTACTAGATTGCCAAACCACTATGAAAGATCAATAGCATAATTATTTTTCTGAAACAAAACCCAGTGAGTATAGTGACACTCCACCCATCCTCAAACTTTATTTTGTGGCAAAAGTTTCTTTACAATATCAGTAATGCTTTTGCATGAACAGCTCTGTAAGTATAGCTCCGCTGTATACCACTACAAAATCTCACCACATCTAAATAATGACCTCTGAAATCTACCTGATGGGCAAGTTCATGAGCTATCACTGCAGTTATTAGCTTTTTATCCCTTGCAGAAGAAGCATTATTGTCGAACAAGAGTGCTGTTTCTCGGAAGGTGATCAAGCCCCAGTTTTCCATTGCACCAGCCTGAAAATCAGGAATTGCTACAAGATCTGCAAAAGATTTGAAAGAAACTGTTGAAAACAGCTAGAGTTAAAGCAGCTCTCTATTTCAAGTTTGTCTATTCTACTTCATAATCCATAAAAAAAACCTCATTATTTAAATTCTGCGGTGCAAGCATGTGCTGGCATTTCAAGACCAGAGGCTCTACGGATTTCTAGCCACATTTATTCAGCATTATTTTATACAAACAACTTAAAGCACTACACAGACACTGCCTATAGATACACAAGCAAACAGGAAACACAGCTGACACTTCTGAAGGCAACATGATTCAAAGACTGAGAATTTTCCATTTTCCTATCAAAGCTCATTACAATGAACTACTTCTTTCACGTCACACAAAACCGTAAGTAACCCAGTGTCAAAAGATTACAAATATTTTCTGGCTTGCAATTCAATTAATGTTTGCAATTCAATAATGTAAACTATATTATGAATTCTTAAAACAATTTTAAAGCAACTTTATTTCAGAGATATTTTATGATCTTTTTTTTAAAAAGAAAAATACAGACATTTCAGAGAAATTAACATTCCCCTTCACTTTTCAGAATTTATTAGGGTTTCTTTTTACGCTTAAAAAAGTTCAAAAGAACTTACCTAATTTTTCAAGAGGGTAATCTATTAAAAAGTACTTTTCATAAAATTCTAGAAGTTTCACTGTTGTGTTTAGAGCATACTCTGCTTGGTTTATATGCTGCGGTATAGCATGGACAGATACCTAGACCAAACAGACAAAAGTAAAGATTTTGAAACTGAACAGCTATAAAGAAACTCACATAAATTCAAGAGGTCAGAACTTACTGAAATAGATACAACAGTTGCAGGTTACAATAAGTGGTTATAAAGATGTTCTCACAGATCAGATTTCCTTGCTAGAGTTTATTCACTAGTCAAAATATACAGACCATCCAAATGACTTATGTGTATACAAGAACAGGTCAAGGCTGAACACCTTTAAGGAATATACTCAGGAAGAGCCTGCACAAACAGAAATTGATCCATTCTTCCCTTTTATTCTATTAACTGGTCCTTCTTGCATACTTCAATGAATCTGTAAGTTAGGCTATCAGTATGAAAACACTAGAATCATCTGCAATAAATTTTCTCCATAGATAATAATTGCAAAAAAATTCATCCAATGCCATATCTCATGTATGAGTATCTTCGATTTAGTGCAAAAAAACATTCACAAAAATTGGCTGGTTACTGTCTCCCATTCATGTCAAGGTGACATAAAAAATTTTCATTAGGATACACATTAATCCTGGTTTAGGATGCCCTCGCATACAGAAGCACAAAAGGTGTTGAGAGCAGTTTTGCTTCTTACAGTCTCCAGTCTTGCCAATAGAATAATTCACCAGCTGCACTCTAGCCTGACCTGGTATTATCATTTTTATGCTTTCCCTCATTAAGCTGGTAAGTACTATATGCCGCTAGGCTTGGTGTCTTCTACAGCTCTGCTAGACTTCCTTAGCTTAGCTAAATCTTGCTTGGTCAGAATAAAAATAAGCACAGAGAAGAATCACCCTCCCTCTGTCAGAATACATCATTCATTCTTTCTCCTCTCCACGTACTTTGCCTATCATAAAATACTTATAAAATATTTATAATCTAACATCTATTATGAAAAAAGGAAAGCATACCACACACAGTTGTTTCAGGCTCTCTGCAAACATGAAACACTGAGTGTAGTGACCAACTTCCTTCCTCCCTAGTAAAGAACTGGCTACACTTGCCAAAACAAATTTCAACCACAGAGCTGAACAGAAGTCACAAGGAAAAAAAAAAAAAAGAAAAAAAAAAAATAGAGAAACTTTTCAAGCTAGATCAAATGAAGTCTGTCCTACTCAGATGTAGTTTGAAATACTTGTCCAAACTAGAATGAAATCCTACGGAATAGCATGTTTTACATCTGTATATTAGAGAAATATGTATCATGACGTTGCTTCACTGGCCTACACTGGTAACACTTCTTAGTAGTGCTAACAATTCTTAGTACTGCTTTTGAAAAGGGCTTCTTATCCCACTAGGACACTGCTGCTCCCTGTGTGACGCTGCTCCTTCTCGGCACTAAGTAGGCGCTGACACTTCCAACATTTGACCACAAATGGGCAGTCCCTGCTACAGTCATGAAAATTACTGCTTACACAAAACCCCTGGAGTAACTAATGAACATTTCCTAGAACTATCATGTTCCTTATTTAGTTACTTAAATTGCACACTGTAGAAACTGCTCAGTGATCTTAGGCTATATCTACAAAGAGCAAACAGCATGCAGTCTTCCTTTAGAAAATGTACTGTTCCTATTCATCCTCTGACCAGCTCATAGTTGTATGCATGAATTGCATACAGTCATTAAAAGCATTCAAGCATTAAAACTAAACATCTAAAGCTTCCAATTAAGGAAGCTTCAAGGAGTTTTACATTTTCTGAATATCTGCTGCTATTATGTTGAGATCCACGCTGTAGAAGTCTTCTCAATCTGACATAAATCCAGAAATAGTTCAATCTGCAGCATATGGTCACTGTCTACCACCTTTGATAAGCACAATGAAACCAAATAAATAAATAAATGGGAGAGGGAGAGAGTCACCCTTTATTGTGGAAAGTTTGTGCTTGCTCACTGATTTTTCCATCTGTTATCGTTTTATTTGGATGGACAGGGAGAGGGTGAAGGATGACTTAAAAACGGAATAAACATACCAGACTCCCATTAGTTTCCATACTGATGTTTTTCAAGTCTGCAACTACAAAGGCTACCAGGTAGGTGCTCATCTTCAAACTCACAAAAAATTCATCCTGAACAATTCCCTTTGTCACAGGAGTAGTGGCTTTCTGCAAATAAAAGAAAAATATTAACACAAAGAAAAAAATAAAATAAATAAAAGAATTACTTTCAGGTAAATAAGAACAGTTTATAAGCAAACTTATAGAATATATTTATATTTCAGTTATGTTTCATTGGAACAGAAAAGGCCTATGACCTTCTCATGGTATAATAAAGCATGACAAGCTTGGAACACTTTAATCCTATATACCCTCAAATTACTCAATAAGCTTTTAATATGAAGTATTACCAGACTAACTTGCTGGAGTCACCCTGTATCTCATTTAGTTCACACAAAGCCCCTAGTTTAAGCTCCTAATTCAACAGAAAGATTAGTATTAATCCACAAGAGCTTTAGGCTGGAGACGCCGTTCAGTATAGCCTGCTAAAAATACAGGCACTGCATGAATTAAATATTTGTCTCTTCCTACAAATCCCCTCAAAATTAGGTAAGTAGACACATCCATTATTAGAAACAAAGAAATAAAACACAATGATTCGCCTTTAGCCTTCTCACCCAAAACTGGAAGATTTCATTTGAGAAAGTGAAGAATACCTTCTGAAACTTCCTAAGTACCTTTGTTTCCAGAAACAATCAACATTAAAAAAAAAAAAAAAAAGCCCTCTAGCTTTAGACAGAATTATTTCAAACTCATTTGAAATATGAACAATGGCCTAACACTTAACTGCTCCCAAAAAATTAACTGCCAGACTGAAAGAGGAATAGATGCTTAATTCTGAATAGAGAAACAGTCACCTGGTCTGACCACCACATAGGAGAAGTTTAATTCTGAACCTCATCAGTCAATTAAAAATGTCTACCTTTACCATAGCTTCATTTTCATAAAGACATGACAGAGGTGATACTCTGACAGAGAATCTAATGTGGCTGCAGAGAAACTCTTTCACAAAAGGGAAAAAAATCACAAAACGCCAGAAATCCAAAAGACACAGTTTCTTCTAGCCTGAATGTGTCAGCCACTAAACAGTGCCACATTAGCTGCGTGCATGCCAGCTGAGATCTGCTTCTGAGCTCTCCTGCTCACGGAGATATTTACAGCAAATGATGAGGCTCATACTTCAACATTCTCCTGAGTAAAATAAAAACTCTGATATTAGCTCTGTTATTCTACAATAATCTATTTTTTTTTTCTTAACAAAGGTTTGCTTAAGTGCTTATTTTCAGAAGTAAGCTTATCCTAGTAATGATTTCATCAATGCTACACAATTTATGCAACATGATCCCTTAATCCACAGTTCATTCTGTGTGCAAGAGCTAAGTCACTAGCCTATAGTGCCTTTGGAGACAACACTACCTAACAGAATACGTAAGTCAAGCTAAATCTAAAATTCAAGAATTTGGCACATGCTAGAACACTTCAGACAAGAAAAATATGAAATAAACTATGCCAGTAAAAGGTTTTATGTATAAAAGTTGATACTGCTAAGGAGAACTTGTTGGTACTGGGAATACCTCAGGTAACTTATTTTTCCATTGAAACTCTCAAATCTAATCCTTGTTTTTGTTCAGTCAAAAAAATATTCTATGATTTCATGATTTTACTCTGATTCACAAGCACAGGAGACCAAGTCTTCTTGACAAATTACAAAATCCACAGGGTGCACTTCCAAATCTATTTAAAAACTGCACTCTTGGGTGTAAAATAACAGCAAATGAGTGTGGGTGACAGGATCTTTTGCCTAGGGCACACAGAGATAGCTAAACAGAAGGATTCGTATCTAAGATAGCAGAAGGCAATTCAAGTGGTATGACAAACAGGAGCAAGAATCAAAATCCCAAAAAGATGATAGAGAGACATCATGTCATTTAAATGGAAATTTGATGGCAGGATTGCCATCAAGTCACTTGAGAAATTATTCTATGCAGACCACAGTGACAGAAACAAGGAAAGACATGCATGTTTTCTATCTAGTACAGGAACAGCTAAGCCTACAGTTAAGGTGACTGCAGTGGAATTGTTTAACCCAGGGAATTCAGGTGCAAGCAATGCACCTCAGTGATCAGAAGCTTGTACCCACCTCTTCCTCATCCTCATTTAAGGTTTAGCAGTGGAGGATGCAGCATCTCTCCGGATGGAGAATGCACCCCTTGAGCCACTGCCAGACATCAGAAGGGGTTAACCAATTTTCCTTCTTTATTACGCATTACTGCTCTATAGTACCTGTATCCCACTTAAAGGCACTTTCAAGAACTTCTTTTGCCATACAGGTGACCAATCTGGAAAATCTACAAAATTACTGTTCATGATAACACAAATACACAACATAAAACTATTTTTCACTGCAAGTAGAAAGGGTAGAAAGTCACATTTCCCACACTTCCATGGCTCAGACACAGGGTTTGAGTTCTGGGTGATTCTGTATGGGGCCACAAGAAGGACTAGTGGGTCTCTTCCAGCTCAAGATATTTCGCTCTGTTCTGAATCCATTCTCATCCTCTCTATTATGTCTATCAGAAATGAGCAAGGCAGAATATACTAGAAACAGGGCAACAATAAACATCCTATAGTAGTGTGGTGCAGTAGAAAAGCTGCAAACTATTTTGGGGGGAAGTGTGTCTTTCAGAATAGTCATGAACTGTGGAAGGTACGCTTAAGAACACAATAAACTTTTAAGAACCATTCACAGTTTGCTTGGTAAATCTGCTACACACAAAGCAATAACAGCAAATAATACTTTACTATATAAAAAAATACAGAAGCTGTTTATGAAAGTAGCCTTAGTCACTTGTCCAATGCTTGCAGAGAAAAGCAGAGAAGTACCCTTTCTTGTCTACATTAAATGTGAAAATTGTCCAGAAAAGTCTGCGCATCGAATCTTTCAATGAAGAACAGAACAGCCAATGAAGTATTCTTCAGCCTGGTATAAAACAAAGTGCTTGCAATCCCATTAAAGAAAAGGTTGAGAATCACCTCATATCCATGAAAATAAACATTCACCCAGTATGAGCAAGATAATATTTCGCAAAGGCATAATTATCAGTTTGGTTTTCAACAAACTTGTAGCTAAATCAGCACCTGAGCCTTTGATAGCGTTCAGAAAACTAAACTGCAAAGTGCACATGTAGATTTCATCAACATCAAGGGTGTAATTTTTTTTTTAATTACTGCTAAGATTAATGTCAATATTAATGAGTTTCTACTGAGTGATAAATGATGATAATGTTTTTGATGAGAGGCAACTTCATTCTGAGACATGCTAGGTAATGTCAGTCTTGATGAGCTGTCTGAATGAATTACACTTCTATAAAGCTTTTTTCAAACACTCAGTGGCATAAATCATCACCATAAAATACAGATATGCTCATGTAAAATGATACGCTCCTATAAAATTTTAACTGAAGGGATCCAGATTTTGATTTGAATTCTGGAGCTGAGGATCTGTTCACAGCCTATTTCCCTCTTGCTCAGGTTCAAAAGCCCATCCTTCCATGTTAGGCATATCTTTCACAAGAACTGTTTCTAGTTACACAAATTACGATGAAGACATTCCAACATTTTGCAAATGTGCAACATCAGCAAACACAGAAACCTCAAAGGGAATCTTAAGGGCTGTTGAGATTGTTTCAGTTAACAACAAAATTCCTGCAACAGCTTCTAAACGCTGAGTAAGAATCACAGAATCACTAATGTTGGAAAAGACCTTTAAGTTCATTTAGTCCAACTGTCCATCTATTGCCAATATCACCCACTGGTCGCTCCCATAGCCATCCAGCTGTCACAGAATCACAGAATGTCAGGGATTGGAAGAGACCTCAAAAGATCATCTAGTCCAATCCCCCTGTGGGAGAGGGAGCAGGAACACCCAGATTAGGTTACACAGGAACGTTCTGTATGTCTTCAGAGAAGGAGACCCCACAATCTTTCTGGGCAGCCTGTTCCAGTGTTCTGTCACCCTTACTATGAAGAAGTTTTTTCTTTTTCTCATTTATGTGGAACCTCCTACATTCCAGCTTGCACCCATTGCCCCTGTCCTATCACTAGATGTCACTGAGAAGAGCCTGGCTCCATCCTCCGGACGTTCACCCGTTACATCTTTATAAACATTAATGAGGTCACCTCCTCAGTCTCCTCCAAGCTAAAGAGAACCAGCTCTTGAGCAGAGGGGGAGGAGAACCTCTCTCAACCTACTAACCACACTCCTTCGAGTACATCCCAGGATGTCATCGGTCTTCTTGGCCACAAAGACAGTGTTGGCTCATGGTCATCCTGCTGTCTACCAGGACCCCCAGGTCCCTTTCCCCTATGCTGCTCTCCAACAGGTCAGTTCCCAACATATACATATATATATATATATATATCTGGAGTTGTTCTTGCCCAGATGCAAGGCTCTACATTTGTCCTTGTTATATTTCATTAAATTTCCAGCATAGCCTTCTGGTGTGTCAGCCACTCCTCCCAGTTTTGTGTCATCAGCAAATTTGCTGACAGTACGCTTTATTCCCTCATCCAAGCCAGTGATGAATATATTGAATAGTACTGATCCAAGTAGCAACCCTTGAGGGACTCCACTAGATACAGGCCCCCAAAAGCTGTCTCACTGATCCCAACTGTCTGCCTTCTTTCCTTCAGCCAGTTCACAGCCCACCTCAATATTACACCCATTACACAATGTGACACTCTGTACGTCCCTACACATCCCTACATTATGAAGTGTGTTAAACAGTCTACTTTGCTTTATAAAGATATTTAGTTCAAGTCCTTGAGGAACAGAAACATTTTTATTATATAAAGTCACAGAGTTTGGAGTTTACCTTCTCAAGTTCCAACATGTACGTTCCTGTAATTTTAAATTAATCCCCTGGACTTTAATGCAACAAATACAATGCAAGCACTTAAGCGTATTACCTAGAGGACAGCACTACTAAAATTCCCACACAAAAGTACCTTTGGCATATTCGACAGCGTGGAAAGTTTCTCATCTCTCTTGATTCTGATTGAAAAAGTAGCTTTAAGTGCTGGTTCATCAAAGCATGGAAAAGCAGACCTTGCAGCAAGAGGCTCAAACTGAGTTGCAGCAAACCACCTAGTGAAAAGAGTAAAGAAAAGCAAATTAAGAACTATGAAAAAGAGTAAGGCTACTTAATTACGATTGAACACTGTCACTTTTCCTCTGATATGCCGAATCAAACTCTGTAACCCACGTAAGATTACAAAGGAGGTATGGTTTATGCAATAGTGCACACATGCTGGGTGCAGTGGGGATTAGATCCACTAACTTGCACACTGTCAGGAAAAAAACATGCTACAGATATAGGCTGAACTAATACATAATCAATAGTTTTCCCGGAATTCGGATACATATTCATTACACCCTGTTGCATTGCCTACTACATACCCCCAACAGTTCATTAGCACACAGACCCTCCCCTCTTGCATACGTAGTGGGTCATTATGGTCTCCTTCTAGTGGTCGTGGAAGAATCCTCATCTTCCTTGCTATAAACTTCTGAGCCTTCAGGGGGGCATCCCCCCAAACCGGTTTCTTCTTGCCCTGTGGACATCTAATCACCTCCTTGCCAAATGTCCCTGATTCTCAAACCTTATCTGTACGGCCTTCATCCCCCTCACTAAGACCCAGTGTCTGCCATCCCTTATTTTCTAACAAGCTCTACATTCTTGCTTCTATAAACTATCTCTAACTATTCCCCTTCACCCCCCTTATTCTCAGTCACTGTGAAGCCTTCTTGCCTTTTGACCTTCACTTAGGGGCCCTTGTCACCTTTCACCTCCACAACCTTTGTACCTGTTTGCCATAGAAGAAGCTTTCCAATCTATACGTGACATGGTTAGTCCGGCTACAAATAATTTCCTTGAGATTATGAAGAAAAGAGTTCTTTAAAGCCAAAGATACAAATTTATTGGAGGACTAATCTCCTTGGTTGGTTTTTTGTTTTCTTATCCTATACCCAGAGTAACATAACTACAGAATAATTACCAAAATATGTCAGACAATTTCCAGTAAGAGTGAATTAAACATAAAAAATCTGAAAAATTAAATTAGTGATCACGCACACTACACGAAAGTTTTGAAACCTCAGCAGCAGACAGGACTGCAGCGAAGCTCTTCTATCTGAATGTTACACATTTGCCACCAGACACTCCCACAATTCTTCTGTCTTCCTGCTCCCTTCCCTGACCACTGGATGCTGTGTAAATTCATGCACTGTCTTGTCTGTAATACGTGTCTTATCATGTCAGAAACTCTCAATGGACTATGTTCGTTCTCAAGCATTTTGATATTAACTAGCTGCAGAAATTAGAACTTTTACTAGAGAGTATCTCTTATTGAATTCTCTTCTTGCAGACAAGAGCATAAATAGACCTCAACAATGTGTCTTCCATTTACCAGAGATGAACAGAGGAGAGAACAGTGTTTTCAACTGCGTTTTTTTTTCTTCCTACTTAAAGCCTTCTACCAACTTCCTTCAAATTTTGAGAGTTAAGTTTTCTTCTTCCCTACAACTCCAAGACTGTGGACCTACCCCTTCCTAAGGAGGCATGTTGCTGCCATAAGACTTCTCTCCATGCCTGCTCTCAACTTCTTACTCCCATGCCCTAAGATTCAGGCACAGCAGCACTTCCCCAAGAAGCAACAGATTCTATTCTCTGTAATCATCACACATCACACATACACTATTACGCTCTAGCGCAAGCTCAGGAGCAGTGCCTTGTTAAGACACTTACTGACAGCACGTTACATTTGCACCTCAGAAAAACATCTTCATCAGACAGGAGGAAACTCAAAACAGGTCTGTAACCCTTCTGCCTACATTTCCATCCTTCAAATTCTTGATCTCTTCAAAGTCTCCAAGAGAACATCAAGTGAGGAACAGTAGGAACACACAGGAGGGAGGAGGAGAGTTTCTCCCTCACCTCAGATGCCAATCAATTCGAGAACTCAGTCATGTTTCACAATTCCTGTAGTTGCAACAGTTTTGCATGTGCTTGAAAATCCAACTGCTGAAGACAATCTATTTTCTTGTACATTTTAGCAGTAAATCGTAGCCCTGCTGTGATCTAGCTAAGGGGAGTTTAAACAGCAAATTGCAAGTAAACTGCTGAAAAAATAAATAAGCTTTGATTTAAACGTCAGCGCTTAGAAATGCCAGACGAATCTGAAAGACACTGTTTTTATTTATTTAAAAAATATAAAGAAATAAATATTCCTTATGTTCCAATGAAATCATCTTCACACTGAGACATTTTATTATTTATGAAACATGAGAAATCCCTGAGAGACTTCAGTAATTCAACATTAGCAGCATACATATATTATGTGTATCTCACTGGAAATATTTTAACTAAATTCTAACACTTTTCTGCTGTAGTCTTCAAGGAGTCTCATTCAAGAAGATATTAACACCTAACAGGTTTTATTTGAAGTCAGTGAAAATAAGTTCTCTTTTTTTAAACTTCAAGTCTTGGCATTGTTTAGCATAAGCTGCTAGGGGCTTCATATCTTTATTTTATCTAACAGCTGTTTTATAGGTTCTTCACAACAACTTTCCTGTCAACAGAGTGAACTGACCTATACTGCTCTGCTTCTAGAAAACCTGCATGGATTACATTGTGCTAACAAAGGCATGAACGATCTTAAGTACACAATAAGCATAAGTAGCATTTGAAATGGGTGGTTTGCACAGCTACATTCTCTAATCTTCTTGGTAGAAAGCACTCATTCCCCGTAACAGTGGTCCTGTCAACTAGCCAAGTACACTTTGAAAGAAAGAAACTGAAAATCAAACAAAAAGCCATGCTAGAGTGCCATGTGGAGCTCGCAGGGAGCCACAATGAACTGAGGAAGAAGCTGCCCTGATTTAATGAACTCACCCATGAAAGACAGTTTTTCAGAGTGCTGATTTTAATCACTGTTAAAATCTATCTCCCGAGCAGTTTTTCATGAAGTGTCAACACAAGAAAGAAATCTGATATTTCAGAAAAAAACCTCTAGATTTACAACATCATAGATTTTTCATTTTATTCAGTAGGAACCAGTTGCACAAAACATCCAACAGAAAGAGTCTTATTCTATCAAAGCACGATCTAAAAGCAACATAAGAGAAAAGGAGGATTTGGGTACCTACTTTTGCTTAGAATTCTCATCCTTGTAAGAAATTTTGTAAAAGCCATAGTATGTATCTGATAAATTAGATGAATATTCCAAGTTGACTGTGTAATTCTGTCCTGCCAGGAGAGACTCAGGTGCTATGACTGCAATCTGATCATGCAACGGATATTCCAGCAACTCAACTGCCTTTTCTTGACTTCCTCCTGATGAAGTAATAGTTGCCTTGGTGATATTTAGTCCTGAGCTGTGAAGCACAATCTTCTTAGTTACTTGGGTGACAATAACCACTATTTTCACAGAGCCTGTAAATTTCAGGGTAGTTAGGTTTGGCTGCAAGTCGAGATCATAATGCAGGGGTACAACATCAGAAGGAAGTCTTATTTTTGCCCATGGAAACAGCTTTCCATTGGTTGCCAAAGGGTATATCAGTTCCATTGTACGATTTTTTTTATGGCAGCCTTCTTTGGTAAAGGTACATTTGGGAAGAAGATAAATCACCATTATCACTGAAACTGCAATCACAAGAACACCAGTGCAAACCAGCACGGTCCTCATAGAGGGCACTGAGCAAGAACCATCTGGACTTTGTCTATAGACAGACATGTTACTGCGGAGACCCGAGCTTCTGTTAATGAAGGACATCCCCAGCAGTTTAGCTGATGACTCATAATCCTCTTCATCATCATCCATTTCATGCTCCCCAAGGCCACGCACTAAGAGCCGCGAGCTTCTTGGTTCATACTCAACTTCATCAGGCTCCAGGGGGTGTAAACAGGGCTCTTTTGCCAAGTCAACCACATCAGGCTCTTCCTCAAACATACTGTTTTCAATCATGTTTCTGGGTAGCTGAATCTGATCTGAAAAAAAAAAAAAAACCAAAACAGAATATGCCACATCATAAACAAAAGACGTAATACTTCAATGACAGATCACTGAGATAAAGAATGGGAAAAGCTTTCACTACATATTCTATCATTTTACTTTCCTGATTTGTTTCCACTAAACATAGCCATGTTTTTATGCCTACTGCAATTCTTGTTTCAGTACCTTGCCCCTTTCTGAACTTCAAGAAGATGCTTCTGTTGTGCACACTCAGTTGTATCTTGTATCATAACTGGGAATCAGCTACATCACTGAACTGTACTTCCAGCTCACAGATATCATTGCCTCAGTTGCATTATGTCTACCCAAATAATTCTCCCTGTATTCAGCTAAATTAGGAATTATGGAATAGTCTCTATGTTGCAGGGAGAAGAACAGGCAACTAGAACAGTTCTAATGGTGTTTCTAAGATTCTTGTTCCAGAGTTCCTATTAGAGGAGAAGACTTGCTGACATATTAGCAGCTACATGAACAAAATATACATTTTACATTTTCAGAATTAATTTTTTATACACACATAAAAAAAACCACTCAATTTCTTACATGGCAATGAGAAGACAACTGTTCAAATTGATCATTTAACGTCTAGCTTATGCAACCCTTGAAACTGTCCGTGCAGGTAAGAAGTTAAGTCAGAGCCAATAAGACAGCATCCATAATTTTTTTCCACAAGACTTAACCAGATCACAAAATACAAACCAAAAATTCAAACTGATTTCAAGTTTAACAGATTCCCTCATATTCCACATGTAGTTTTATTTTAAGCAAACTTTTGATCGTGTCTGTAAAAAATAATGTCATATAAAAAGTTATCTTTCAGTTAAGCCACCCTGTGAAAGTGGTGAAGTTAGAAACACTGATGGCAAGAAGTCCATACAGGTTATTGGACACAGAGACACAAAAATTGCTGTATCGGCAAGGAGGGTTTTTTTCCACAGTGTGTTTCATCTAGAACATTGCAACATAGAATGAAGTTGCCTGTTTTTCTTAGGGCACCACAGAGCTGTCTGAAGAACAAAACAATTCAACTGGGAAAAACATCTGTACAGAGATTTCTCATACAGGATATCCAAAAAAATCTCAGTAAATTTTCAGGCCCTTGCAATCTAGTCAGTATGAGTTAGTCCCCTTTCACAGCCTCAGAGACTAAGAAAACTGTCAAACTGCAAGGCTTCACATATGAAGGTCTACTGCTAGTTGAATAATAATCACATCTCCATCCTCCATCTTGCTTTCAGAATGAGGATGATGCTTGAATCTATAAACATATTAAAAAGTAGGTTTACTTCTATTACTTTCTGTCAAGAATTGCTGATCTACATATAGCCAAAATATCAGCGCAGCTGCAATACATTATGGATTTGATGTATATTGCTAAGGTCCTGTTCAATATTTGCAGTTAACAACAGAACAGCTTGATTTGGAAGGGAATTTACTATGGGTAGGGCTACTACCCACCAGCTCAGGATACCCAGGGCCCCATTCAACTTGGTCTTGAATGCTTCCAGGAATGGGGCATTCACAGCTTTTCTGGGCAGCCTGCGTCAGTGCTTCACCACACTCAGAGTAAAAAATTTCTCCTTACTATCCAATCTCAATCTATCCTCTTACAGCTTAAAACCATTATCCCTTGTTCTGACACTGCAAGTGCTGGTAAAATGTCTCTCACTTTCTTTTAACACTCTTTTAGTACTGGGAGACTGCAATGAAGTCTCCCCTGAGCCTTCTGCTCTGCAGGATGAACAACTCCAAATCTTTAAGCCTTTCTTCACAGGGGAGGTGATTCTTTTGTGACTCTTCATGGTTTTCTGCCACTTCTTTCAAAATTAAACTGACAAACTATTCAGATATCTTCAAAATAAATAACGCCTTCACAAATGGACTGCCAAGGCCTTAAAGAAAAACTGAGGGGGGTTAGAGCTGTTGAGGGGAAAATACTAACTCATGTAAATCAGTAAGAGAAAGGTGTACTGGTCAACTGAACAAACAATATGGAGACGGATGAAAGCAGGGAGTTTGCCCGAGTTCACACATACTTGCCCATAGTATGTCCCAGTATAAATGTGCTGTGTTGTCTATGAATAAGATCACAACGGCACAGGATATTTTGGAAGTGAACTCAGGAGGTAATCTGCTCTAGCCTCTAGGCAAAATATCTCATGGTACTTCTCATTAGAGTGCTAATGTTCAAGCCTTCAACATCTCAGTTCACTTCAGTGGTCCAACACCATTGTTTCTGTGCTGAAGTCTGTGTACTCACAGAGCACAGAGGACAGAAAGCTAGGCTGCAAGAGAGAACATGCAGACATATTTGTGGAGAAGAAAATGCGGATAGAAGAGTATTGTGCAATGGAAGCTCTTTCAGAATTCTTCCACAATCTACTTCTAGCAGAGTTTCTTGTTGCTTTTTGAATCCACTGGCTATCTTCAGTCAAATTTGAAAAGAGAAGGAAGGATAACCGAATTCCTCTGAGTACCAACCCAACCCCGTCCCAAAACAGCCAGCTGCTATCAGAAGACACCCAAATTAATACCTGCTGTATACAAAAGGCAAGTATTAGGACTCACATCTTAACCACTCCCAAAGGTAGCAGCCACTCAGTACTGCTCCAACCTCAGCCTTGGCATATGCTGCTGCATTGCCATCTAGAGAAGTAGAGGATAGGGGAGGCACTGCAGAGGGAAGGAGGAGAAAGATAAAGAACTTCTGGCAAAGAGTTGGCCTCATTAGCTCTGCTTTTTAAAGAGCTTATTTTCCAACAGTTTCCCTCTAATGCCAACTACCTTAATATTTTCAAAGTTGCATGCAAGCACTAGTAAGCCTTGAAAAAAATGAAAAATCTGAATGAGAAATTAAGAAAAACTAGAAAAGCAAGGCAATTCACAGTTTCAACAGCTAAGATAATTTCTATGGAAAACAATAGTAAACCCAGTTTCAATTGATTTTTTTTGCAAAAATTCAGATCAAAACCTGGATGTTGTGATGAACAATAAGCAGTGATGAAAAATGTTGCACTGAACTATCAGTTTGATCACAGGCTATGAGATGAAAGTTGTGATGAAGTAGGCAGACTACTGATCTCTACTTGAAAGCGTGCAAACAAAATATCAGAATATCAGAACGTTACCAGAGTTACTTATGCTGACATACACATTCACAGGAGCATACAAGTCAGGCTACTTTTTTGAAGAGGAACCATTGCAAACATGCCACTCATGCTCAGTAAAACCCTGAATTCTGGTTCACTTGGATTTATAACAAAACAGTGTGAGTTATCATTCATCTTTCCTTTTAAACTCATGAGCTACTAAAAGGCCCACCAGAAGAACAAAAAATCTACAAGCCATAAGGAATAAGAAGCAGACCGAAGAAACCTACTGCAGCAAACTACTGCTTCCACACCAGAGGCTGCCGATGCACCATGGGCAATGTGATCACTCTTAGTTCACAGCTAAGGAAGCACTGACCTGAGTTGCTGAAATGCACCGTAAAGTTCTGTCTTCAGACACGGTGATTTGCAAGCTGCAGGTAAGCTTTACCAAACATAAGTTCAGTGTGAGAGCAAACAAAGAGGTTAAAAAAAGCCATGGGACTGGGCCTAATGCAGCTCCCTAGTTAGCACTAACGAAACAACACTCAACCTGCTTTCATAGTCACCCTCATCACAGCTGGAAGCCTAAACACAGGCAGGAAAAACTGAGTTTACAAGACTTTTCTGCAGATCTGTAACATGCAAAGTAGAGGCTGTTACCATCTTTCCCAGTACATGATCTGTATCACTTGCAAGAGAAAACAAGACGAATATTTATGGTTTAGAAGCAATTCTGAGAATAGATGCAACTTTAAAATTAAATGTGACAGATTAAAGAAAGCCAGAAAGCCAGTCTTCTGACACTGCAGAGATGAAGGAATGCAAGTATTTTTTCTAAAATGACTGTTTTCAAAAGTTTTTTAGTTTTGGAACTAAAAGTTTTAGGTACCTGAAAACCTTTCACAACCTTATCTCCTCATTACAATACTGACAGGATCACAACCTGCACATACACATATGCTTGGGTAAGCAATTCAGCTGTAGTTATAACAAGCCAACAATAAAGCTGCTGCATGTACTAGTACATCCTTCATAAATAAGAATCATGTACTCATACCTAGGTGAGAAGAAGTATAATGACTGGAGGACACTAAGAAGATTATTTAATCAGAACAAACTAAACAGAAGGTCCCTTATCTTAATCCTACAAGATATACATCTTTACTTCTATATCCTTTCATAAGCAACTCTTTCAACTTACAAGGTAACTTTACGTTATAAAGCTCTTTTGGATTTCCTGACCATAAGGAGACAATCAGGAGCAAGAACAAAACTGTACAGCAGTTGCTGCAAGTATTTATTTTGTTGGAAAAGCTCCACTGCTATTAAAGAGAAGAACATAAGCTTTCCCCTGCAGTTTATAAGCCCCATACAGCAACACATAACAAATCTAATTATGAGTGACAGTGATATAGGAAGTTTTGGTTTTGTAATCCATTACAAATATCCTGTGGAAAATGAAAAGTCATTATTCCTGTAATTTTAAAAGTTACAATCTTCAAACAGCACTATCGATACATATTTATAATGTGAGAAGTGTGTATTTCTCCCTTAAAAAAAAACAACAACAACAAAACAAACAAACAAAAAGAAAAACCAGTAAGTTCTCTATTATCAGGCCTTGTGTCTAGCTCAGAACTGAAACATCAATAATCTAAACTCTTATGTAAGTTTAAGTGGTTTATTCCCCCAGATTAATTCTCTTTTAAAATATACTCAGAAAATGTCTTGTGGCATTTTTCTCTTTTTTTGGTTTTCTGTATCTTCATTAAGTACTGCTAAAAAAAATAAATAAAAAACAATCCCTAAATCCAAGGATCCCTAATGGCACAGTCAGAACAACTGTCACTGCTTTTTGAGACAGTTCAGCTCATAATCATCTTCAATCAACAAGCAGGTGTAGGCACTTTGCAGAAACCAAACTCCTATCACAGAGATAAGCCTAGGAAACTTCCCATCATCCTGAAGAACCTGGCAGCCAAAGAAGCAGGTAGCATGTTGTTGCAGACCAACCAGCAGGTGTGGCAAAACCCACAGCCAAACCAATGGCTCTGCGCAAAGCATGTTTAGCAGCTGGAGTAGAAGTTAACACCCATAGAACCTAAACCATTTCAGATACATTTTAAGTAACGGGAGAGAGGGTGCAGAGACAGTGCTGTGCAGAAACAGCAAACAGGAATCAATCAACATGTCCCATCAGGTTCCTCCAGGGAACAAAGAAACACTGCAATCAAAAGACTTGCTCTGTGGCTGAATGTGAGGCACTTTACGCGGAAGTAAAAACACACCTCCGGCCTCAGGGCAGAAGACACTAAAAAAAACATGTATTTTACAGAGAAACGTTCCATGAATTAGCAAAATAGGATAGATACATTCAAAAATTTGGTACACCATGCATTTAATATTCGATGTCTTTCACTTTCCTAGCAATATTTTGACAGAGAAAACTAGACTGCCAGCATTTTCAGTTGTGCTAAGTACCAAGAAAAATCAAGAAATTTATAATCACAAACTAGTTAGTCCATTATTGATTAAAACAATGTAACCCAAATGAATTCCTCTCCATGAGATTTCTGGAAAGCAAGGAGGAGCACAGTGTTCATTATAACACCTTCACCATTACAACTCAAATTACGTAACAGAAACTGAAATGCAGTACTTATAAAGCTGACATTGACACTACACCAAATAATAATCCTGTGTAAGGAATGACCCCAGGATCAGCTACCAGCATCCAACAAAGGGGTTATTTATCCAGGGCCACAATGATTCACTTAACTTTTACATCCAAGTTTTGAAGTGCTGAACTTTTATTAGCAGACAAAACAGCAAACCTCATCAACATAACACAGGACATTCCCCCTTAGGGATGTTCTATAGACAGAGAGAAGGAATAGGTGGAGTCTATCAATTCACCTGCACACTGAGGACCTAATGAGTTCATCACCTACCTCCTTTTCTGCTTGCCAGCTTAAGATGAAATGACTGAAACATGACCCCATTCTAGGTTTGCCCCACTCCTCCAAGTACTGAGATTGGCAGATTTACCACAAGGACTGTGCACCTATTCCTGACAACAGTAGACAGAGAAAATAACTTGTCTTTCCTCAACTAGGAGCCTGGGTTGGCCAAGCACTCTGAACCAGTTCTTGCCTTACACTGGTTTCTAAGCAGAGGATCCCTTTACTTCTAAATCATCTCCTCTAGCTCTCAGCTCTGCCTCTGCTATGTCACCTCAGCTTGTTGCTATCGAGGCTGAAGACTTTGAAGTCCTTCAGAAATAACTAAAGGTCTACACTGACTCCTTGGATTAACTGCAGGCTATTATTTTTTCTTAAATAGGCCTCTGTAGGTTTTAGATTCTGTTGTTTGTAATATAATTAACATACGACTGCTTCAAAAGTAATTCCTCCTATTACATGTTGTTAGCCTATGCCATCAGAGGTGGATGTTGGTGGTACATCAGTAGAAGTGGAAGCTTCCCACAGTATCCCATTACATGTTGTTGCTGTGTGACAGAGTGGTGTCTGATGTGGAAGTGCAGATGAAACAAAAGAATCACCTGAGAATTTGCTCTATCAAAGTTTGTACTCTTTGTATCTGTCATAGTTTCCATGGAAATAAATAGGAGGCATTACTTTTGGAGCTACCTAAATGCAATACATGCATATAATAATGAACACTCTGTTGCAGAGATCTTTCTAGTAATTAAAACACTTGCAAATGCAAAAATTTGAACAAGTATAAAAACTGATACTGTAATGTCATAGCAAATAAAAACATTAAATTTCACCAGAAGCTTTTTTCCATCTTCTCTCTCTCACAAGCTCTACATCTGCAGAGCTTCCAAGAATTGCAACAGCTAGGCAGGGCAGCAAGGCCTAACAGAAACGATGCCAGTGAAGGACTCTGATCTCTCTTCTGTATTACTGTGGTTTAACCCAGCAACAGGTCAGCACTATATGCCCACTTGCTCACTGATTCCCCAGCAGGATGGGGGAAAAAAAATGAGAAAGCAAAATAAAATAAATTTGTGAATTCAGATGAAGATTAGTAAGACTTAGAAGAAGATTAGTAAGACAAATGGGAAGCAAAATAATAGCCACAACATATATACATAAATTCATAGGTGTATATATAATATATATACATATATATACATATATATTTATATATATATATATACACACACCCATGTAAGAATTTACACAACAAGTGATGCACGATGCAGTCACCACTTACCAATCAACACCCAGTGTGGCTCCGAACAACAGCTGTGCTCCCCCACGTCACCCCAACTACCCCCCATTTATTTCTTTTATTTCCTTTTTTATTTCCTTTATTTCTTTTTCACGACACCATCAAGTACGAAACATCCCTTTGCCCAGCTCTCCTGTCTCCACCCCCTCACAGTTCCTGGTGCCCTCCCACGCTCCTTGCTGGCAGGGCAGAACAAGAAGCTGAAATGTCCTTGAGAAAAGTGCTCTCTGCAACAACTAAAATACCACTGTCGTCATCACTGCTCTCATCCTAAACACAAATCACACCAGCACTCCCAACACTACAAAGAAAATTATTCCAGAGGAAAACAGTATACATATCTTCTAGTTTGGAACACAGCTTCTTTCCTCAGTGTTTCTGGTTTTTGCCTACCCTCTCCTGAGCATATGGCGCACTTTGCAAAGTGCAAAGCTGTGAGCCAATTACCCCCTGTGACTCTATTGCTTCTTACATGTGTCTGACACAATGGAGTTTCAATTTTGCCAGAGCTTTCAGTGAATACTGTGACAAATGCAATTCATCACCAATGTTCCAGAAGCAGGCATTCAACATTTTCTACACAATTCTATAAAGCATACACTTAATGCTTATAGTCTTGGTCAGTCAAATGTACCCAGGAAGCAAAAATTCAGTTGTATTAACATGATTAATGCACCTGTGTTTACATGCAGAACAAAACTGCAGCCTCTTGATTGGCTCCAGAGGAAGAAATAAAAAAAACTTTAACTGAAAAGAATATTTACTTTAACCATGCATTTTTTAAAAAATGCTTCATTGTGCTTATAAAATATCACCCAACAAAAGCTGTACAAGATTTCTTAAGTTTGGCCCACAGACAACTGATTTGCAGCACAGTAAGCAAAGAATCCCTGCTGCTATTCCTAGTGTGGTGCAGACATAGCTCTGGGACACAGCAGCACTGATATAACTCCTGGAGTTCTCAAGCAACAATCACACTGTATGGGAAAACTCTGCAAAATCCTAATGGAAACCTCTTTCTTTGGTAGTTCAGGGCAAGCAGCGGTATTTCAGGATTCACCCCCAACCACAGAATAAAGGGGAACTAGACAGTCTGCATAAAAGTGAATTCCTCATCTCAGGAAATTCCTAGTCTTGAAACTTACCAAACTGCTCTACGCAGTGATAAGCAGCACGCATTCTATAGATGACAAGTCTAACTTCCTAGACTGAAGACATCCAAAAAACCTTGTGTGTACATAGTAACAGGTGCCCAGAAACACAGAATAAGCCAAAACCTTTGTTGCGTAATTTGCTCTTTAAAATACACTATAATCTTCACTGCTGGAGTGGTGCACAAGCAAAAATGTTAAGTCACCTATTTTCTGTTCTTTTTCTCAGCATTGCACACTGAAGGGATGGTACTTAAGGTCACTTGAATACTGCATTACATTACTTCTTCTAGTGGATAAGTATCACTCAGGTATAAGAAGAGATACAATTCAACAAAGCAACACTTCTTAAAAACAGAGGTTTTCCAGGGAACACAGCAGACAATTTTAACTTACAGTAATTTTTTTATAAAAGAAAAATGAAGTCATACACACCGTATTATTTGATTGTAACACAGATGTAATCTTGGTTGCTTCTACAATTCCAGTTTCAAAGAGATCTCTCCCTTTACAACTACGAATGAATTTCATATCACCGATCACAAATAAAAATAAAATAGCCTCAAGCTTGTAACACTGATCTAACAAAGATATCATCAGACCTTAACAGTAGTGTAGTGAATGCACCTTTACTCTTAGGAAGTAAAACCTCTAAAATTTGCTTTAAACTGCCACATCTCAGTTTATGATCATTGCTTCCGATCATATCAGTTTAGTTCTTCCTCCCAAAATGTAAACTAATTCCTGCACAGCTTCACTTTGAGCTGTCTCCAATTGCTCTGTTAAATATATATATTATGTTTTGTTGTTTAAAAAAAAAAAAAGAGAGAAAACTCAATCGATCTTTCCAAATCAGCTTGTTCAGCTGATAACAACAAACATCAGATTCTGACTGAAGTTTTACTCTCTTCTAAGTATCTGTTACACGCATTTAATTCCTCTTGAGCAAGAAATTATAATTTAATGCTATGTGGAGTAATTATTTACAGCTATTAAAACAGGAAAGCACACAATGTCATTCATGTAAATTAAAATCAGCACCTATCCACAGAGAGAAAACATATACTTACAACAGTCAGCCAGCTTAGAAACAAGACAAACACCTGACAGTATTTTGGGAAAATCAGAAATTCTACGTGAAATTATTTTGCCTTCATTCCACCATCATTTATTTCATTTACCAGCTTGGAGACTGAGCAAAGGGAATAGAAGCCTTTTTAAAAAGAAAAATGATATGCAGCACAGCATACCTGAGAACAATCTTGCATAAACAGAATCAACCAGCCAAAATTTACAGGTCACATCAGAAAACCAGTCTGTCAAAAAAAAAAAAAAAAAAAACAACGCAGTTCCCAGCACTACCAGTTGTCTGTGCAAAAAGAAGCACTCCTATATCCCCCATGCACTCACATGCACACTGCAGCTGAAGTCCCCAGCACCTACGAGACCTCCAGAAGTACAACTGGAGGGCTCAGCAGCTGCAGCACAATTAGAATTCAGCTGAAGCACCCCCCTCCAGACACGGAGGTCCCCAAAACCAAACGTGCAGCCCCTTCACAAAGAACAGGATAAGGCCTGTTGGGTATCCCAGCATCCCAGCTCTGCTACTCTTCTTCACCTGAACGCAGGTTTATAAGCCCATCTTCCACTTGTGGGAGGAAAATCGTGAACTGACAGCTCCTTCAGAAATGATGAGTTATCCTCACACAGAAACACGATCAGCACCAGTGCTGCGCATGAGATTGCATGTGCTCATTAAAGGTCTGTGCCAACTTTCTCATTATAAATAGAACTAAGGCATGACTGTAAACATTTGCTTTGGATGGAAATATCTATGGAAACATTACGTGCCCTGTTCTGAATTTTCAAGCTCCATGCTGTTTTCAAACACCGCACAGCAAAGCAAGAGACACAGGAAGCATTCAGAACTGGACATTAGAGAGCAAGCTTGAATCACTTCAAAAATGGATTATGGATTATACTCACTAAAAACAGAGTCTTACATGATATTCCAGACTCCCGTGAGTATTTTAGTTGGCTCCAAAGCAATTAACACTTACAGTTAAGAGCTGCTGAGCCAACAAAAAATGACTGGCTCAATTATGGTGAAAAATATGACGCAAAATTCAAATAACAAAGCAGAAAAGCAAGTCCCTCCTGAAAACAGTAAAATAAGACAGGCCCACAGAAATCCCGTATCAAAATAGCAGGACAGCTGTACCTACTGCTTTGTGTATACAGGATGAAATATCCTGAAAGCCATTACCAAATGAGCATCTCCTCTGTCTGGAAGAAAGACAATGAATATCCAAAAGTCACATCGAGACAGCCTGCCAAAAAGCCCTAAACGTTAAGACAAGCAAACAAAACTGAAACACAATGTATTTCACTGTATTTTATTTAGACCCCACTAACAATACGCACAGATCTGGACTCTCTTCTGATGACTAGTGAGAGCTGCACACAGAACTCCCACTTAAGGACTTCATGCACTTACTGTGTTTCCTAGCAGACTAACAACAGCGCCCTGCAACAGTTTGTGACACACATCACTTTGCTTCATGATGCTTTCAGCAGAGACAATAACAGAAAAACTCACAAGCTAATATGAAACCAAATACAAAGGAGTGGTGAAAATGATGGAAGCACGTACCACAGCAACATAAAGAATATCAGTGCACACACTGCGCATGACGTAAATATACCAAGTGTTTTTATTTAAGGAGAAAAAAGAAAGAAGGAAAGCACATCAACAGAGTTAAACGTATGACACTACTACTCCTAACGGATCATATCTGAATTTCGTGACATTTGAAATCCAGTCTCAGATTTAACATGACACTAATGTAACCTTCATAAATAGCATAGCAAGTTCTTTGTTTTCAGCAGGCACAGCTCCGAAGCAACTGGCAATGAGCAGAGACAACCTAATAAAGAGCTCATATACACAGTGTTATGTTTGTAATTTAATTTTCTCTTGAATATGCATAGTTGACAAAACCTACAGAAGAGGAGATTTAATCAATATCCAAAAGAGATTCTACTCCCCCATGTTACCAAGCACCTGTATAGAAGCCATTAGGTCAGAGTTATACTTAATAAGTACTCTTTAAGGAGCACTCCGATGACTGCTACAGCATACATACACCTCTGAACAATCTCAAATTTTGACTCACCTTGGAAAAATAACTACTGTTCACTGCAAACTTGAAACTGCTTCCACTTAATAATGTTAAGTGCAATGTTCCAGACTTTTCTGCTCTGAAGCAAGCTCCACCTCGGAAACGTCCTAGTTTTGGCTAGAATTGAATTAGTTTTCTTCACGATGTCCACGTTGGCCACGTTTGGATTTGTGACCACAACAGCACTGACAGCACACCGATGTTTTAGTTGTTGCTGAGCAGTGCTGCCCAGAGCCACAGATGTTTCAGCCTCTTGTACTGTTTGGCCAGCAGGAGGAGCTGGGGGGCACAAAGAGCTGGCAGGGAGCAGAGCCGTGACAGCTGACCTGGACCACGGGAAGTCTGACACCATGTGATGTTCTGCACAGCAATAAAATTGGGGTAAAGGAGGAAGACGGCACATTACCAGAGCATAAGAAGCGCCTGGACAATGCTCTCAGATACATGGTCTGATTTTTGGGTGGTGCTGTGTGGAACTGAGTTGGACTCGATTATCCTCATGAGTCCCCTCCAACTTCCGAGACTGGATGATTCAGAGCAATGGTGTTTGCCCTCCCAAACAGCCAAGCTGCATGATGAACCCAGTCATCCTGCCTGATGAAAGGAACTCCTTCTTAGCTTTGCTTACACAGGAAGTTCTGCTTCACCCAGCAAACTGCCCAAACCATTGCAAGGGAGTTTCTCACTGCCAAATGCAGCCCAGCTGCCTGAGGGGTCAGACCACAGCAGAAAGACACCAGCCAGAATTTCTATCTGCTGGTAAAATCAGTGTACGGGGCAAATATCCTTCAGTTCTGAAGGAGGAAAACCACGAGTATTTCAACTTGCAAGTAAAAAACTTCAGGTGTGAAAAGTATTTTATATTTGTTCATTTCTTATTTTCAGGAGAAAAATCTCTGAAGAAACAGAAACAAGATAGGTTGGTACAAGGCCATTGTGGCCATAGAAAGAGACCATAGCCTCTTAGACTAACGAATTCAGAAGGCAGAGGAGAATAATCCAAGACAAGAAGCACAGCCAAGAAGCATTTGGAAATACAATGTATTACTACAGAAATTCCAGAATCACCCATATGCCTTGGCTGCTTTTTGGAGACTGAACCGAAGCAATATGTAGGCTAGCAGCACGTCCTTACCTCCCATGATGCTATAAGAGTACACATATTCATTTTTAATACACCAAAAACAAACACCTGAAAACATAAGCTTATGTACTTTTACATAATGAACATAGCCATCTAAGAAAGAGAAACAAAACCATTTGTGTTTTGAGCCCAGAACAAGACTTAGCACTCCTCCTGAAACTACTGTGTACAGAAAGCAAAATGGCACACGCTTACACAGACAGAAGCCACTATCAGAAACTAACAAAAACAACCTCTCTGAAGACAAGTGAGCATCTTTCTGTAATAGCTAAGAGCTCATCACTCTTCATTCACACAGATAAAGATGTTTCCATTTTGCAGAGTCATAATCATTGCAACAGGCTCTGTTGCTTTTTGCTGTGCCATTACTGAGGTACCAACCCTCTGTACAGTTTTACTGCAAACTTTCACCAAAAGGCATGCAGATCTATCCACGACCAAAGCACTGGCAGTACATCCCAGCGGTGCCACTGTGAAAGGGTTTGATTTCAGCAGACAAGTAAGGCTACAGGGCAATCAAATTGGTAGAGATTGCCAAAAATATGTGCAGTTACACATATTCCACTGTTTCCTCAATTAGGTCATCACAACAGGATCACAGCATCACAGGGGTTGGAAGGGACTTCAAGAGAACATTGACTCCAACCCTGTTGCCAAAGCTAGACCAGGCCCCCATTGCTCCCTAGGCCAGGTTGCACAAGTAGGCATCCCACTGATCCTGAATATCTCCACAGAAGGAGACTCCTCAACCTCTCTGGCCAACCTGTGCCAGTGCATCACCACCTTTACCATAAGAAAGTTCTTCCGCATGTTAGTATGGAACATCCTGTATTTATGTTTTAGGCCACTGTTTCTTGTCCTATCCTGGTGGAGCACTGAGAGGAGCCGGGCCATTCATTCATCTCCCACCTCCCATTAGGTATTTACAAACATTAGTCAGATATTCCCTTAGTCTTCCCTAGGCTGAGAAGACTCAGGTCTTTCCATATATGGGAGATGCTCCAGGCCATTTAACATCTTTGTGGCCCTCTCTCTGCTGGACTCCTAGGAGATTCCTGTCTTTTTTCATCTGGGGAGCCCAGAACTGAATACAGCACACCGGATGTGTCCTTACCAGGGCAGAGCAGAGGATCACCTCCCTGCACTCTGGGATACCACTGGCCTTCTTGGCCACAAGAGCACACTGTTGGCTCACAGCCAGGAAAAATGAAGGACCAAAAATAAAAAAAAAAAAGCTCTAAACTGAAGTAATAATTTTGGTCCCATACTAAGTTCAACTGTTTTTCCTGTATTGTAAAAGAGGACAAATGCTGCTTTCCAAACCAAAAAAAGTAAGGGAACATAAGATACAAGCCATACAAGATCTCTCTATATTTGACATCCTGCCTGCACTGGAAGGAGTACTTGAGCTGCTTTTTATTATTACTATCCCCCCTTAGGAATATGAGAACAAATATTACAACAGCAAGCTCCTGCACGTACCTTAGAGCAACATTCTCCCAGCAAGGCTGGATGATGGAAATTAAAACAATACACGGTTATGTATTTTCAAACCACCTCTTATCTTAAATTGCCATATGAAATGAGAGCTAAGACTGTAATCTTATTAAAGCAAATGTTTATTAGTCTTGGGTGCTTCTAAAAGGTTTCCTCAAACTCTTTTCCTGGTTTTTAAAGGAAAGCACAGATGCCTTTGGCAAGCTTTAGGGCTAAAGAATCACATGGTTCAATTACATTTCAACATCTGCCAATACAAAGCTCTAAGTGGACTGACGCACTATTACTAGCATGTCATTTCAAATTACTACTTTGACACCATCCATAAAAATAAAATGTTATGAAAGATACAGAGTGGGCTATCACTGAACCCCTTAACTAATAAGCTGGGAGAACCCTACGTTACTTTTTTCATAACTATCCCCAGAGGCTAGTGGGGATTAGTAGAGAATTTAAGGCTCTGCAGTACAAGCTCAGTCTGAATTTTTATGTCCAAAATAGGCATATCACATTAAGTCACAGTTTCTTGACTGTTTCTAGCATTTTTTAATGACACTTCTCTTTAGGCACTACTGAGAGAGAAAACCCTACAGAAGCCCAACAGCATCAAGTCAGCATACTGTCCTCAGTCACTGACTGGAAATAACACTGAGGAACAGTGGGAGAGCGTCATCAAACAATTTTGTAAGACGAGATTTTAGTTCCCAGTGTAATCAAGCACATGTTTTGAAATTAAACTGATACAAAAAGATTTAACCATAGGGTCTAACAAAAACAAGCCTTGGAGACTCATTGGAAGTTGTCTGAAATATCCTGAGCCACTGGAACTCTCACAGCCTGGACTGCT